GGTCTGCTCTGCCCCGCTCCGCTGCGCTCCCCTCCGCGTCCCTCCGCCCCGCCCAGAGACACGCACTGCGCTTTGTATCCAAATCTTTATTAGAACAATCCCCAAGAGCTGTAAAACAGTGAAGTAACAACAAAATTAAATATTAAACACTTCAGTTATCAAAGATATCTAAACAGTACGTTCTATTTCTGCATAGCAGAAGCAAACAGGTTTTAGAGCTCAAACTGTCGTGCTCATGTTAATTTGGTTTTGGCAAGATAATAATATAACCTTAATAGTCACATTAATGAAACAGTAACCTCCCTCCCATTCCTTAAAGAGCCTTTTTTTGTGACTTCACAACTCATTATTTGGGACAAACACAGGTGGACTCCTTGTAGCACAGAGTAACAGACAATTTTAGTATTAGTAGCACTATTAAACAGGAAGAAACAGTTATCTCTCCAATTTGATTACAGTGCAATACAAATTACATATTACCTCAAAAATTGCCTGTATCAAAAGTTAAAAAATTTAGTCTAATTTATAAAACACTTCCAGAATAGTAAGTTATCAGTCTTGAAATGGAGAATGAACTTCAGGCTTTTGAACAGGTGCAGTACAGAAGGTATTTGTGAGCCTCTTCCCTCTGTTCTCCCTGCGGTTACACGGGTGCAACACCAGGACCATTGTAACCCAAAGCAAAACAGGCCCTACTCAGAAGTTCACTATACCATAAACTAAAACTATAAAAAAAATCTGCTAAAAATGGAAGTCTTGCATTGTCTTTTATTTATTTGCAACACAATTGTCATGTGTTTTCTCCCAGACCAGAGTCTACTTTCATGATCTGACAACAGCAACAGGGAAATTGTGTGTGCTGCATCATGCAGTTCAAAGACATCCGACATCTTTTCTACAATTCATTTTGTATCAGTTAATTTGAAATAAAGCATTGCTTCTCCTATCTAGCCTCTTCTGTTTTACAGTCTACATGGTGTGAATAAACTTCAAAATATAAGCCAGGTAAAATAACAGCCAGTAAGGCACTTTGTCAGAGAGGACGCAGCTGTCCAGGCTGAGCAACTCGTCGAGAAGAGACATTCTGCATTACCGAAAACAGTCAGTCTGTTCTTCATCATCCCTCCTCTGACAACCCATCTGCAGAAGAACACTTAATGACTGTCCCAGAATCAGCTTGACATTGCATCCACCAAAATCTTTTTCCTGCTCTACAGCAGAACATGCAACAGTAAGATATTTCATACTTTTAAATATAATGTTTAAAAGACTATTCAGCATCTTTCTGGCATTCAAGAATCAGCTGCTGAATACTACTTGGAAAAAAAAAATCCTTCTGCATAAGAAATGAACCCATCTTTCTTGTTTCTTTGTTTTCTTTCTGGGGTCTTTTTTTTTTTTTTTTTTTTTTTAACATGTAAATGAAAGCCATCCATCAGTATGTTGTAGGGAGACACAATGAATCTAACCAGAACTAAACCAAACATGGGTGTTTTCTACCGCCTCTTGGTGTCTACATTCTGCTTGTTCGGGATCTCTGATAGAACTCTTTCTACTCGTGTAAAAGGGTCTTTCTGCAGAGCCACCCGCCCTTCCAAAGGCTCTCCCGGAGAGCAGCGCCAGCTGGGGCCGGCAGGACCACGACGCGGAGCCCCGTGCCAGTGCGAGGGGCTCCCGCCGGGGCACCCTGCACCTCCTCCCGTCCCGCAGCACCCGCGCGGAACCGCACCAGCCCCGGCACGGGGCAGCCTCGGCGGGGTGGGGGGTCGCCCACTCCCAGGGGCTCAGGAGCAAAGCACACCCGACATGTACCGTGCTACACCTGGCCGCACGCTCCACTCTCTGAAGAACGGAATTTTAAGTGTTATACTAAATCAAGCAACAAATTAAATGTCCAGATCCAGACACGTCACTACCAGTACCTCCTCTGTGGTGTAAGACTGCAGACTCTGGCCCACAGGATTCGTTAGGAACCATTATATTAAGTTAGTCTTAAAATATTAAGTGATTCTTTCCCAAGTAAATACTTGCATTAATTTCTACTTATTCATTAATAGCAATTTATTTTTAAAATGCCAATTTTAATATTAAATCATTATGATTTATTTATTCAATTTATCGATTACAAAATCTACATGGTATTGCTTTGTATTTTCACAGTTCTCATAATTATATCATTAAGAAAATGGCTTTTTAATTTTCTTCTCAGAAATGGTGATCACTTACATTCTAAATAATTTCACAAAATAGTGAGTGGAGCAAATTTATACATATAGGCTTTTTTTACTGTATATAAATAATAATACAATTTTAAACTTTCACTTTTAGAAATTTCTTTAGTAAATGCATAGGTTTGTTACAAAAGTCTTCTAATCAAATAACTGTATACTATTTCTATTATGTTTTATTCCTAGTAAACTCTATGGTTACATTCATATGATAAAAAAAGCACGCTGTATTCAGAAATACACTTTTTCAGTTGAGCTCCCAGTAAGACACTCAAGTCCAGTAGAAATATAGATTACTTTTAATGCAGTTTCTTTAGCTGCAAACTAATCACACTGTAGTATTAAAAAAAAAAAAAAAAAAAAAAAAAAGAATGGTGACTCATACCCCCAAAAAGTTACTGACTTAATTCTCAGATCAGAATGATGGGGGGGGTGTATACTCAGTGCCATGCACATAATGAGAAAGGAATGATGGCCATGGTGAAAGTCTTCATCAATGAAGAGTGATTTTTCCCAAAGTAGGTTTCTCAGCCCTTTCTGAAAGTCAGGTTTACTCTAGGGTATCTCGGGGCGTTAACAAAAACTGAAGGTGCCCACAATCAGTAGTTACATTTGAAACCGTACGCCTTTATTTTACATTATTTGAGTCCTAACCTGAACCGCTCATTTCTGCTTCAGGGGAAGGGCCGCAGTGCCCGCTGGATCACAGGGGATGCACACCTGCACCTCAGCTCCAGCCTTTCAAGGCCTGAGCTTGCCCACGACTGCCAGCATGTGGGCGCTCATCACTTGTGCACCAGCATGACCCCAGACCCGCTGCACGAGGGACAGATTTCTGCCCTTGCGGTGACCGCCGCCACCGCAGACCGGAGCCGTGAGCTGAGAGCAAAATCACTTTGGGGTGTGGATCGTCAGTAAATTTTCCCCAGAAACTTGTGTTCAAATCATCTGGAAGAGAATTTACCATTCTCTTTGTGACACTAATGGAGTCCTGGGACAAGACAAGTATTTCCAAGCGCTGAACAGCTCACATGTGCCTGGGGCAGAGGAACGTGCCGCTCCTGGGAAGTGGACACTAACGGAACCCGTACTGGGTACAGTGGAAGCCATGAAAACTAGGGGCAGGCCTTGTATGGCTGGGTCCTTGGGCATCCATGAGACTAATAAAACCTTTTCAGCTCAGCTCACGGCAGTCAAAGACTTGAGAAGTACGCCAGTGTAAGACTTCTTCCATGAGCAGAGCTGTTACCAACCTCAGTGACAGTTCTGCTCATGGGAGGGTCACAAAACTGAACAGAATGTTCATGTGCTTTCTACCAATGGACTTTCTACTAACGACCAAGCAAATTTAATAATCAAAAAGCAAACTAAATCTTTTGGAGCATCTTTCAGTAGATAAATAACACATCCTGTATTATGAGAAGACTTGAGTTCAGTGTCTTAATACCTCACTGTGTGAGCGACCGAGAGCGTGGAGACCTGCAGAAGGAGCTCGCCCAGCCCTCAGCACCCATGCAGTCGTTGCGGGGTCTAACTGTTAAGAAGCCCTTCTGAGCTAGGCAGAGGCAGGGGAATCCCTTGTGCACACATACAGCCAAGACTTTCTTCCAAGGAAAAAAAAAAACTGCATTTGGTTTTCCTTTCAAGTGAAGCTCAACTTCCTCACAATTATGTAGAACACAGTCAGAGACTTATTAGAGAGAGGGGGTTATTAACACAAGTGCATCTCTCCTCAACATCAGCTAAAACAATACATTCACCATCTTGTACCAGATGAAACCTCATTTGTGTGAACCACAAATCACTTCAAGTGCAGTGGGACCTTCTCTCAGTCATATCATCTTTTAAGCACAACTCACAGAAAACTTCACTTCAAGCAATATCAACTGTAGTCTCCTCTGACTACCTTCTTCGGGACCAGCAGGTACCATCATTTCTTAAAAGACGCAGCTGTGGATGTGATTAAAATATCACTACATTTTTCAGTGTAGGGAATCATTAATGCATGTATAATCACAGTTTAAATAGCTGTGAACCAGCTTGTACAAAAAAATACAATCATAGCACCATATTTACAAATTTAGTACCATCTCCTGGTTAACTAGAGTCTCGAACTATCTTTTTATGGCTAATTAGGTTATATGTTAGTGCTTTCAAAGAATTGCCTGAATTTCTTTTACAAATATACACCTATAAAAAGAAACGTTATCAAAACTGCTGTCATCTAAGGCAGCAACTTGTGTTACAAAAGTTATTAAAACATCATTACAGACTTAAAAAAGCTTCAGATTTACATTTTCCTTTTCATAGGCACTCTATAAACTAAAACGTGGCCTTGTTTTCACAGCTCTTAGTTTAAGCATTTAAACTAGTTAAATGTTACCAATGTTGCTCATTTTTTTAGATATAAGCAAAAGGAAAAAAGAATCACCCATTAACCAGAAGCATCATTTACAGTTTTTACTTTTGCCTATTTTATACATGTTTTGCTCAAAAGTGACACCGTTTTGATGTTGAGGTTTAGTGTATGTTATCCCACTGCCTTCTTAGGGCTTAGTTCCTTCTTCCCTAGAATTCGGTGAAGGCTAGCTGACATGAAGTAAGGTTTTGCTGTAGATCCATCGTTTCTTTCCAGGTCTTCACCTGAATTTACACAGCAAAAGCAGCCAAAGGAGCAAACAGCAGTACAACCACACACACGGAGAATTGAAGAAAGGAGAGAGCAAAAGACCCAACATTAAAAAAAATACGATCTCAGTCAAGGCAACTTAAATGTATTGTTAAGTTGATAAAAGACACTATAAAATTTCTGTTTTCTTAAACCAGAAGAGGTTTTACACAAAGCAGAGACACAATGGCATCTAGCCATTTTTCAATTACAGCAATATGTCCTTTTTATTCTCCAGTTCTTTCGTTTGGCAGCACACGTGAAAATGTACAGAAACACTCATGCCTCCACCAAAGCCTGGCATTTTAGTTACTTCTTCCCACAAAGAGAGCTGTGGATTTAAGCTTTTTTTAAAACTGGACCCTTTTTCACTGCCTAAGATAAAGTTATTTTGAAAACCTGATGCCACAAGCGCACAATATTCTGTATGATCTCCTACTGTCCATTACTGAATGGAAGCATGGGAAGCAAAACAGAGCAGGAATTTAAAATAATGAGGCAGACATATGACTTTTTCCCCTACATAAGGTCATGACCAAGTTGCTGGTCGGGGTTCAGCCCAGTGTTTATGCCATGCAGTAGTCACAGACCAGTGAGCAATTTCACACTGATGGGCAACTGGGAGGGAGTGTGCAGTGAAGCACAACAGTTGCAACTGCAACCCTGCAGACAGAGGCAGACAGCAACATCTGCAAAGCCAGAAAGAGAGCACTAGCTGTAAGGAATGGCCAAAAAAGTTAGAGGAAGCAAATCTTCGTGTATGTCTGCCTGTGACACTTGTTTAACTCAAAAGGAACAGGACGCAGCTCTCAGCTAAACATCAATTTTCAGTTTTCTGACTGATTTTCTTCCTGTGATTCTTTGGCAACCCAGTATTTCCAGAATCACCACTAAGCTTAGTTCCTAGGGAAGCAGGATTAAGAAGGTGAGTGTTTAAAAGGAGAGAAAGAATTTATGCTACTGCATAAATTACCTTGTTTATCTTGTCTCAGTGATCCACCGTGCATACGATAGATCAAGCCTATGGCTACTTCAGTGTTCCCTTAGTATTATCAAATAATTCACCAACTGCAAGAACAACCACTGCCTTGTAACTTCAACTAGGACCCACCAGAATGACTTTCATTATAGAAAAACTGTATCTTTATTTCTTTAATTCAGTATATCTAGTAAATGGAATTTATTCTGTAATAAGTACATCCTCCTCTTATAATCATGGCCTAATCTGAGACCAACAGATTTGTGACTGGACGTATTGAACAGCAGTCCCTTTGAGAATGCCCATGGTTGCTTGCCACTGGGGGGCCCAAGGGACAGATAAGTTTTTTTAAATTGTGTTTTACACACATTTGAAGGTAATTCAGCATAATACTTTCTTCAGGGCTATTAAGTTAAAAACAAAGGACTACCTAGATACCAAAGAATAACTTTGTTATTAACAAGAGGTTTGAGCAAATCATTTCTGTACAGGGCACTTTACAAAGCACCCGGGGGGAGCAGACTGTTAGTGAAAGTTAAGGAACTTCTGAAAAACAAAAGCCAGATATCCCCATGAGCCATAGAGCTACCTTACATTGCTTAAACTAATTACATTTGAATACTAAAACACTTCTGCACTGAAGAATACATCAAGGAGCCAGTCTGAAAAGCAGCAGCAGTTTGTTTTTCCACAGTCTGCTAGCATGTCACCAGAATCCCTAAGGAACAGACAAGGTAGTTTTCTACTCCTTTTCCTGTGACTTGCAGGTATTAGTGAAAGAAAATGTAGTACTTACAAAAGCAGAGGAAAAGCGTGTCGACACACATTGCATAGACGCTGAAGAACCCATGTGCAACTAGGTAGGAGCCAATAATCACCGTCTACAGAAAACAAACCACAGTGAAACCCCAAATTTAGTTTGGCACCAACGTGGCAGTGTTAACACAAGTCAGAAACCTAGTCTGCTAAGCAAGTCTGGGAGGATTTAATGGCAGCTCTGTAATTCTACCAGGGGTTACTACCGCTGCAGAAAGGGACCACAGGTTCAAGACATTGTATCCTAACGTGCAGTAACCAACAGTTTTCCAGCTGCCAAACTGGAGCCATTTCAACCCCCAAAAGGGAACATGTGCAAGAATATTCTAAACTCCTTCAAGATCATTCTAAAGAATGACTCATCCTGGAGATGTTCTGCAGTCTAGAGGGCTATGGAAGTAGAAGGAGCTGCATCACCAGTCCCTTCCATTAGGAACCACACTGCCACCAGTGCCCCACCGTCAGCCTTTGCTGCATACGGGAGCATGAGCCAAGCAGGTGTGAGACCTAATTTTTCTGAAGGTGCAGAGTCACTGCAGCATCACTTGGGCCTGAAGGACCCTGAGGACTGGAGTGTAGCCAGCAGCCTCACTTCAGCAGACAGCCTGCCTCGGAGGCTGACGACAGGGGCTGTGCCCAGACCACCCCGGAGCAGGCTCAGCACCTCCAACCGCCCTCAGCGTTTGGGAGACGGGACGGTTGCTTACCAGCAGTGGTACCCAATAGTAATTTAATGTCGGTGCTTCCTGTGCAAAGACTGGTATTCGCTGTGTGAAGAAGAAGAACGCAAGAACACCTGCAAGAAGCACAGAAGATCAGCTAACTCTGACTTCCTAACACCTAAAGAATGGATGAGACAAAACAAACAGATCCAAGGTTGGTTTAAATAATAGTTTGTAAACAATAAATTCCTCAATACTAATTATCTGCGGGATCTGTATTCTGACAGAAGAGATATGTAAATGAATAAATTACCATAAAGTTATTCATGGGCCCAGAAAGACTAATGAACTGCTTTGCTTCAGCATTCTACTGAATTTAATAGTGAAATTAATAGTGATAAACAAAACAATGACAGGGGACAACAAAGACCATTGGGTAGATCTTTACTAAAATAAAAAAAAGACAAAAATTCTGCTGCTTTGAATTCTATTGCTTGAAGAAATAATTATTTCAAATTAAAAGAAGAAATGGCAGTGGCTAGTGACGACACTAAGATTAGAACAGACCAATGCACCTAAAACAAAACTCACCCAAAGAATTAATTCTTGAAGAGGACAATAATTAATTTCAGTATTTCATTTACATTTCAGAGAATATGTTTCAAGGCAAATTTGCTACGCTGGCTTGAAAGTCATTCTACAGTAATGACAAAACATTTTAGATCTGGTTTTGGTACTAATTTTTAACTTTTGATTAAAATATAATTCATTAGCAATTTTTTTAAGTATACAGAATACAAAATATGGTTATTTGTAAAATAATGTTTTGAAACTCTGTGACAATTTAGAAAAACCATAAGGGAATACTGCCAACTTGAATTTCTGAAGGTGCTTCATTTAAAAAAAAAAAAAAAAAAAAAAAGGGTCAAAAAAATCGCACTTTTCTGTCACAGAAGAACATTAATAATATATTTTGATATTTACTGATAACAAAGAAAACCCTATAAGGATGTTATAAATATTCTATTTCTTTCACTATAGGTTGTAGCTATAATGGGCTTGAACACAGCAAAGCTTCAGGCCCATCTCCTGCAGACCTGCACTACCTTCCCTTGTTTACATGCTCTCTGCTACCAGGTGAACCTTATTTGTAATTTTTTTTCAGTTCTTATGAAAGGAGAACTGATTGTGGCTGACTTATTGGATGTGAATTTGGTTTGATCCAGCTATGATGCTCTGGCTGCGGAAGTTCTTGCACCAGCAACACATGCAAGAGCAGTAAAAGCAATGATGGAATGGATACTGTCAACAACACACGGGGTGTAGGGGTGGAAGGGAAAAAAAAAAAAAGGAAAAAACCCCATATTTTGGTTCAGCCTTGCAAATCCTAGAAACACAGAAAACAGCCTCCTTAATAGTCAGACCAATGAGAACCTCCAGCTGTGCACTAAGCACACACGATATGGCAGGCTATCTATTGTAGATACCAGAAAACAGAACATGCCATTTGCAACAAATCAGTTAGCTTACCTACACCACCAGCAACGAGAATTTTCCCCAGGAATAAAAGAAAGTCTGTAACTTTGTCCAGAACTGCAACTCTGTTCAGCAAAGGACAGATGATACATAATTATTACAAACCAGACCTCTGTATTCTATCTCCTTAAATCTATGGATATTTGGCAAAACATGACCAAGCAGCTGTCTTCTGGCTTCACAGGCTGGCAGGACAACAACGCAGAAATACCACACTGAGATGGGCCTTGTTACAGCCTGATCTCACAGGGCAAAAAAGCACTGAACTCCTTGCTGAGTTAGGCCTTAATGCAGCAACACTGCTACAGCACTTGAAGACTGTTTATTGCTCTTGCTGGTTAAAAAAGCCCAACAAATCGAAGTATCAAAATATTTTTATTACAGCCTTTCTTCTAGGGTCACAAATAAGCCAGCCAAGAACAGGAAAAGAACAGACCAAAACAGAAAGCAGTGTTGGTGTAGATTGCGGGTAGGTCTTGTTTTCACTTGGCCCTACCTGGCCACATTTCATGACCCCATAACATGCCAAATCTACTATTTTAAGATATTGTGGTACAACACTGAAGGCAGGAGGCCTCGAAGCAGGAAGACAATCACAGACACATGAATGAAGGTAACTGACAGTAAATCTGCAGCCCTCATTGAAAGAAACAGCAGGGAGTTTCTGCTCAAAATCTGCCAGCCTGTCTTACCAGAAACTGCAGGTAATAATGGGATGGAAAATGAGCTTTGTATCATGAGCCTCTTGATAGCGCTGAAGGCTACGGGTGTGGTAATATACAGCACTGACTACCATGAAAGATAAACATTAAGAAAGAGAACAAATCATCATTAACCTGTCAGAATTCAGAATTAGCAAAATACACAAGACTTTAAAAAATCTCAGTTTGAAACAATAACATTATAAGCCTGACTCTCGGCTATTGCTCTTACTGACTGGGAGCGCGACCGGCAGCAAGGTGCCGCTGCGGGGGGAAGGCAGGCAGCTCCCCTGCGGCTGTGCCGCCGCGGGACCCGCCGCTCCCACAGGAACACCCCTGCTCTTCCCTCTTCCTGCTGCAGCACCATCTCCATCCTCCTCTTTCAGCCTACCCCTCCATCACTCTCCTCCTCCCGGTCCTTCACTCAACAGTTCAAACCACCTAACCAGTTTTACTGTGTCTCTTGCTGGGTAATTAGATTGGCTGCTGCTGCATCAACATGAGCTGCTCCTAAATTTTCCCATTATTTTTTGATCTCACAGTGGTACTGGAAGGGCCAGGAGCAATGAAGAAAAGTACTGATGAGAACAGGAATTTGGCAGCAGTCTTGGTAGTGGGGCAAAGGGCCAGGGGAGTTCCCAGCACCAGGGGAGATCTGGTTACATTCAAGATACTGGGTTTGAAAGCAAAGCACACTCTCCTCTTTACTGCCACTCACTGACAGCCCAGAAGTTTTCTGGATTAATCTGAAGACTGAGGTCTTTGTGCTTTCCTTTTGACAGATAGTGTGTGGGCCAAAGCTCAAGAAACACACAGAGAGCGAGTGATGAGCACTCCATTCCTGTATTTCTGTAGATCTCCTCCCAGGGGGCTCTACTGGTTCCTTGGAGGCACCATTAAAATCTACTGGGTGCTTATTAATTTAAAAGAGCAATCGCCACAAAACTGTTGTATTGTAACAACTTTGCACAGCTTGCTGTGCTGGACAGCCTGCTGTTACACGGGGACTGTTAGAAGTGAGGGCCATGTCTGAGGACAGAGCAGCTTACAGTGATATTTGGAGGAGGCATGGGAGAGGCAAGAAATGTGCCTTCAGAGTGCAACAGCAGGAAATGCTGACATTTCCAAGGACTAGAAGATGGCCCCTTACCTCACCACATTCCGCATGAGCAAGAAGAATGCTTCCTTTGCTGAGGTGCAGAAGTTTTTACCATATATGGCAATCTGCAAAATAATAGTAGCTGTTAAGTGTTTTAAATAATTAGGATACCTCCTTGTATGTCAGAATCTTACTGTGTGTAATATGTAGTTCTCTCTAATATGTGGTCTTGAAACTCAGATGAACATAAAGCACTTCCCCCAGTCACCTGTGACCTCTCAACACTCCCCACCAGGTTGGGACAGATTATTACCCGTCCTTCCCCTTCAGATCACCTGGTGATGAGCATGCCACCCTTTGTGACCTGCGGGCATTAGACTCAGTACTTTGCCAAGCAGAGCAAATGATGTACTTGCCAAAGGATTCTTCTCACTTTGCTAGTTATCTGCACTACATTTATAGTCAGTGGAAAGGGACAAGCACTTGTAGAGCAGAAGTGAGTTGACCTCTGTAGGTATCTCCTTGGACTTGACACTGCTCTCCCTTAAGAAGTCAGCAATGCCAGCATCAAAGGCAGTGGATTTACATCAGCAGAAAGTAAAACAGCTAAAGCTATTCGGGAACAAAACCATTTCTTCTTCCTGTGTGTGTCCACAAGGGTAAGATATACTAGAACAGCTCTTAGTTCAGTCAGTTTACCAACTGTAAACAAGATAGTAGAAAAGAATACTTCCTCTTCAGGATGGCATTAGAGACATCAATTGCATGAACATGAGTTAGAATGGACCCATTACAGCCACCTCCTTTGAGACAAGAAGTCTGTGACAGTACCATTCAATCACTGAAATTGCTTCAAGTCAGAACATCATAGGCTGACATCTGTGAATGGGTATTTAGGTGAAAATCTGGAATTAGTCTTCTGGAAGCTAAGAAGGGTTATTTTAGAGAAATATCACTGCTGCTGCTAGAAGAATTTCTGCTTTTAACTTCCAGGAAGAAATGCCTATTACATGCCTTCTGACCTCTGTACTCACACACTGCCTCCAAACCTGTGTCATCAACATGCAATATGAAACAAGCTAACATTCCTGTTGAAATCAGGATTCTAATTGCTGAATCAGAGGGGGAGTAAACCAGTTGTGCCATCCCTTCCCACTTACTTTGGGGGGCGAGGGGGATGGACAAAGACAGGCATGAAAAGAGGCTGAGCTTAGAAGAAGAAGAAAAAATCTTACTTTTTCATGGTAGGGCCACATGCATTTCCCGAAAACTCCCATAAATCCCATTATTTATTCAGCAGATTCTAGTACTGCTGGCTGTTGACCAACTAGTAGTGGCTAGGATATTTTAGTGTCCCAGATAGGGGAGACCACATGCAGAGACAGCACATACCATGATGTAGGCATTTCTGTTTATAAATTTTAAGAATTTTTCCAAACACCAGAAACAGCATTTGAGGCAGCAGAGTAGAAATCTAGTGAAGGAGTTCTGTGTACCTGGAAAAAAAGAGAGATTACATCATACACAGAACTCATGAACAGTCTTCAGAACACAGCTATTCAGAAGAAAATCTGAAATTGTGACAAAAGCAAAACCACTATTTCTTTTCTTCTAGGTATGGACTCTCTTTCTCAACCAAATTTAGCTCAATACCTTTCACTTAGACCAGGTCCACATCCTGCTTGAACTTTGCATTCAGTTCCCAAGGACATAGGCTCAATTCAAGTAAATCACCATGAATTGACTGGCTTCAAATTGACCTACAATGGCTAAAAATACTGTGGAATTGATCTCTTTTCATTGCTGAAAAGATAGCTTGGGAAAGTCAGGAAGTAATTTACCAAAGATTTTAATAACCTTAGAGCAGATTCACAAATCTCACCTTTCAGTTTGTGATCCAAGTATTCCAGTATTACTCTAATAAGCTGGACAATTGCAAGAATTAAGGCTCCAAATGCCAGCGAACCTGTATGGTATCTGAAACAAAATAAATGACTGTTACGTTGCACCTGTGTGTATAAGCACAATTATACAGGTATGTGCATGTGTGTGGATATGGAGAGAGAGAGAAAATGACAGCTGGAGGAAGGTCCATTACAGACAACAATGGACCTTCATCCTCGCCAGAGGGGAATAGGATGAAGCCCCTGGTGCTGCTGGAGTTTGTGCGAGCGCTCTGTGTGTGTGTCTGTCTGTCCATCTGTCCGTCCAGCTGTGTGCTATGTGTTGTAAGCACGCACCTGGATGTCTGCACCCCTGGGGAGGAATACCTGCCCAACCTCTGCCTGGCCGGGCCCAGGGCATGGAGCTGAGCAGCCCTGTTGCTATGGGGCTACAGGATTCAGCTTTCCCTTAACTACATTATTTTCCTGATTGTACTGGGCCTGGATGGAATAGAGTTTGTTTTCTTCATGGCAGCTTGCACAGTGCTATGTTTTGGATTTGTGACCAAATCAGCACTGATAACACACCCACGTTTTAGCTATTGCTGAGTAGTGTCAGGGGCTGTTCTGGTCCTCACCCTGCCTTGCCCACGAGTGTCTGGGGTGCACAGGGAGCTGGGGGGCACAGCCAGGACAGCCGACCCCAAGGGATGTCCCACACCATGTGACATTGTGCTCAGTGGTAACAGCTGGGGAAGGAGGAGGAGGGGGGATGTCTGGAGTTACTGCGTTTGTCGTCCCAAGTCACTGCTCCTCGTGAGGGAGCCGGGCTGCCCTGGGGGTGGCTGAGCACCTGCCTGCCACGGGAAGGCAGGAATCAGTCCCTCGGTTTGCTCTGCTTGTGCACGCAGCTTTGCTTGACCCGTTACACTGCCTTTATCTCAGCCCTCGCGTCTCCGCACTCTCCCCACCCGCCGTGGGGAGCGAGCGGGCGGCTGCGGGGGCCTGGCTGCCATCCGGGATTAAACCACGACACTGACTAATCATTTTCATCTGATATCCTGAGTCTGGCCTCTCTAGATGTAAAAAAGAACACTTTTAATGCAGTTGCATACATGGAAGGGTCACATCCAGCTCCACAGTCTTACCGTATTGCTCGTCCAAAGGAAGAGAAGAGCGGCCACAGTGGAATATCAGCTGGTTTTCGAGAGGCCCAGTAATAAGAGGCAAAGGCACCAGCAAGGGTACACTGACCCAGTGCAATTGCGAAGTTCACCAGCCAGAGAAAGACAAAGGCATTGGCTAACTGGAAGATGAAGATGTACTTATGGTACAGACTTTCTCCTCCATAAAAAGCAAAAGTACACTGAGCACCTGGACACAGTTTAGTCACATTGGTTCTGTTAAAAGTCTGTACAGAGAGAAAATTAAGCAACACAATGATAAGCAATGAATTCTCTGTACACAGTCTCTGAAGTTTAGCAGCTTAATACAAATCACATAATTCTGCTTGTTTCATTAGCTCATTCAACACCACACTCCAATACTATGCAACCTGTTTACATATTTAAGGATTTATATTAATGTCTTACACAGGTGCTTAACTATTAACCATGCAGTTGGCACACAGCACTGTTCACCACAAGCCTGAAACCTACAGAAACGGAATATGAATTTCAGAAATCTACTTTTAAGATACATAAACGTTCCAGTTTCATTAAAGAAAACCTGCTCACACAGAAAAGAAAAACATTATTTGAAAACTGAAGGCCAAATCTGTAGTTCAGGTAAATCACCACAGTTGAACTGAAATCAACCGAGCGATGCCATTTTACACAAGCTGTGGATGCGGTCACAACTTCCCTTCCTATCTGAGAGTATTAAAAAAGGTGTAGTCTTTACCTTGAGTTACTTTTCCCTATTTGTATTGTTCATTTCATGCATTTGCTCAGTTTGGGCATGAAATAAAACCAGCCAATTTCTAATCCTTTTCTTCTTTAGTGTTTAGACATCAGCAGGGTGGGCAATTGTTTGGGATATACTTAACCACAGTAGTACACTGAAATTTAAACACCTGAAAATAACCCTGATATAACATTTGATAAATACTTCTAGTTTTCAAAAAATACTTAAATTCAACCCCACAGTCAAATCAAAACATTTGACTGAAGACAAAATTTTAAAAAGAGACAAATACTTTTGGAGCTTCATAAAGGCCACTGCTGTGCCAAAAGAAGATAAGCCTCTGCTTCAAAACATGGCTGGTCCTTGGGCCGTTTTGAGGCACAGCTTTCAAAGTCTTCCATTGTCTTTTGAGGACCATTAATTAGAATCCTCATGTATTCAAGAGCACCTTTACAAGTAAGTGTGTATTTCTGTGTCTTCCTTCCTCCCCCTGAAAATTAGAATGGTTAATATTTACCTGCGTCACAGAAGAGTTTAGCAGAAACATTAAGTTTATGTCTGTAAACTGCTTTGAACAAAGTGTTATCTGAACACTAAGTACTATTTGCAGATTTGACATAAGGAATCACTACTCAGAACACATGTTCTATTAGCATTGCATCTAACAGTGATTAAGAAATGCAATTACTATAGCTCTCACTATAGGTAAATATTTGTTACACTTACCTCTGGGTCACAAGTCAGGTTTGCATACTTGCACAGTGTTTGATTAGCCATTACTTTATACACAGGTTCTCCTGATGTAGCCAGAAAACTGAATTAAGTATTTTAAGGAGAAATCACAGAACTGCAGGCTTTGAGGAACTTAGGATTCAGCAGTGGGTAACCACTAGCTCTAAAGAACTTGTGAAGGTAACAGAAAATCTGCTCTTCCTATGCAGAGATCTCTAGGAAGGGCAAGACTGACTACTCTCATTACTTGGAGAACTAAGGCAAACTTCACCCCAGAGCTGTAATAACCCCTGACCAGAATGGGCAAGGGGAATAACCTTGAACGCTGACTCAGTCTCTCCTGCACATCTATGTTTGACAAGGCAGATGATGCAGCAGTTCTTTGACAGTTTCCATTTTGGTGGAAGGAGACACAGAGCATAAGGATAAATTAGCACTGTCCTGGACAGCAATAACTGCATGTGAAAGAACAATCCATTTACTAAAAACAATTTTCCCCTTTCTGATGCATTGCCAAACCCTTGCTGTCCTGGGAACAAACAGAGAGTGCTTGCTGCTATGCAATTTAGAGAGGATTCAGTGCACTGTATGTTCTCCACTCCTTTCCTACCCTCTTCTGAACAAAACACACCTGGAGGTCAACCCACCCCCAGCTAACTTGAGACATCAGGCCTACAGAGCATGCAGCACATTAAAGGCCATATTCACTCTTTGCTGAGGGCCTTTTTTACCCCTTAAAGTCAATCTTATGTTGTACACGGGGCCTTGTATGATCCCCCTGCCTTGGCATGAACTTTAGTCCATTTCTTTTCAATGAAATTAAATTCAGTCCAATTGGTACATGACATGCAAATGTGCAATGAGGAAGAGTGCACCAGTGCAGCAAGTGCTAAGTGACCAAACAGCTCTCTTAACACTGGTTTGGTTAAGGTGAAATAGCAGAGAATTATCTGGTCTCGCAGAGCAGAAGACTGCTCCTCCAGAGGCACGCAGACAGAAGGATACACAGCTGTCACAGCCCAGTAGGAAATACAAATTGCAATTAGTATGAAGGTGACGATTGGGTAGAACAATGTAGACATTATATAGCCAATAGCCCTACAAAAAAAACCAAAATGTATCAGTAAGCTATAGCAATTTAAAAAACAAGCTTTTTTTTTTATCCTTTTCTAGCATCACCCTTTTCACTTTGGGTTACTTGTTGACAGTCGCAGCATAATCTAGTGCTGGGAACTCAGAATACTGCAGGTTCTTTCTTCAAATGCCTCCACATCTTCTCTCTTGTCATTTCTACCACTCTACTTTTACTAGCAGCACCACAATCAACTTTATCAACTTGTCGTGTTCAAGCCTGTCTCCTCCTCTGTTACTGCTTCACCGACCCAGCTCTCCCCAGGTCACAGACCCGTTCCAATCACATCTCCCTGCTGACGTTACCCTTCATCTCCTTGTCCCTCTCTGCTCAGCTCCAGTGCTCTTCCTTCAGCTCCTACGCACCTGACATGACCTCGTGTTACTTCGTATGTGGGGACCCTGTTCCCAGCCCCTTTCTTGCTTTAAGTACTAAGTGTTTTGGGGCAGGGCCATTCAGCTGGTCTTTGACATACCAGGACATGCTAACACCTTCCTGTGACTACATGACTTCCCCCACGTCCCGTGAGTGGTGCTCACCTCTGGCTGTTGGCAGGCAGAAAGAAAAACAGCCTTCCACCACCGGCAGCTCAGAGAGCTCCTTTTAACATCAAGGCTGATGTTTTAGAGGCTGACATTCTACTAATATTTCTTGTGGCTAGAATGCAACTAATGAGCAGGAACTTGAGCACACAGGTTCCCACTCTACCAGGGACGACTCCTCTGTAAGCCACTGAGCTGACACAGCCCCTCCAGGTCAACTCACTGCAGTCACCTCAGGGCAGACACCTCCAGTTTGGGTATCCCACTGGATGTAGCTGCAGAGTTTTGGGTTTGTTCACTGAAGCTTGCAAGTTGGTTCTCTTTATACTCCTGTCATCCACCTCATCCTGTTACTCTAAATTTTCTTTCCAGTGGCCCTGTAAGCTTATCACAAGCCTTTTTGTCTCATTATTTCCTACAGTACTTCTCCTATGACTCATGGCACTTCTGATGCCATTTGTTTCATAGGAGGCAGTTTCCAGAATGTAAAAGGAGACAAATTTACTCAGTTCCTGCTGCTAAACAGGTCAGTGCTGGCAGGGGGGGATGGGGGGGATGCAAGGGAACTGGCATGTGCATCAAGAGGGTAAGAGCAACACATCAATTTCTGTCTGAGTGCAGAGATGTGACAGCCCATTAAGAGTCACACAGGAGGACACAGCCCTATGCTGTCTAAGAAATGATCACTATGTATTAGCAGTGTTCAGCAGTTAATGGTAGGCCTCTTAGTTACCACTAAACCACAGAGTTACTCCAACAAACTGAGTAACAACTGTTAATTCTTTCTAACTATGGATTTCAAGTCAGTTATTAGCATTATAACTGTAATATTCCTGAAAGACTAGTTAAAAGATCTTGAAAAATGTAATTTGATTTCGAGCCATAACCAGCTTATTCTTCATCTTCCTGAATACAGGGCATGGTCTGTTAGGTTTATAGTAATTACATACAGTGCTTCACCTCATGCATTATGCATGAGAGTAAAAACATCACCCTCAAGCGACCTCCCCATGCTGCTGAAAAACTACAGAATGTTATTAGTTCTCAGCAGGAAGTTTATGAACTTTCTGAAATCCTCCTACCTGTCAAGGTTGTGAACAAATGTGTTGAAGAGTGTTAAAAGTGCTCCTGGATTTTAATGAACAGGAATTAAAGAGTATAATTTAGTGCTGCCAAAATTAATTGCTATGTTCTAATCGCACAGTAGCATAAGACAGGAAACTGGTACCTGGCTGAATGCAGAGCTTTAGTATTTCTTAATCCCATTAAACAAATCCCAAATCCTGATTCCTAAGAACAACCATGTCAACAGAGATGGCAGAAAACTACAAGCAAGTGCACACAGATAAACTCAGAGCTAACTCTATGTGCTCTAACAACAGAGCTCTACTTCCAAGACCTATGAGACCTTAGCCTATTTGCAATGAAATCCAAGGGCCTGATGTTCTATGTCCATTTCTCTTTTGTTATGTTCCCATTTTTTAAAAAAGAACTACGTGTTGGTACTATGTAAAACAGGAACCACTGTGAACAAAGTCTGTTCAGATAAGACAAAACGAAGAGGTCTCCTCCTATCCTGCTCTGCTTTCTTCTTTGTTCAGAGCTGGGAGGTAGTATCTGGGACTGCACCATATTACAATATCTAGACACAGAAGTCTCCTTTTCTCTCTGTAGACTTATGCACGTCCACACAAAAGTTTGACTGGAGCCAGAAGAGTTAGGTCTTTCCTAAATAAAAGCCACAGCCAAAACACCACCAGTCCTCTACCACTAGTATGTCACTGGCAGCAGTTCAGTGACAGAGCAAAACTGGCAGCTATAGGTCCCGGGTTCCTACTAACAGTGTACCACACTTAGCATTTCTGCTGCTACACCTCCTCGCACTGAGGATACAGGGTACTGCTAACAGTGTACGTACCCTCCAGGCAGGGAGTGGAGAGACAAGAAATGTCTGACTGCAAAAGAGAAACCTCAGTAACAGAGAACTGGCATTCCTTATACCAACAAACCCAGTGTTGTACTTTAAACCTCAACTTTCTGTCCTTGGTAGAACAAGATGAAGCTCAAAAAGAGTGTACTCTAGTGATCATTCCATAAAATTCAGAATATATTCAAATCAGACAAACATACCTGCTACCTTCCTTCAACAGCGCAATGGCAATCCGGATCCGATTCCTTAGGAAGATCAGCATCAGTATGATTATGACCTCAATGACACAAAGCATTATCACTGCAAACAAACAAACCAACCAAGTCAGATTTATCAAGAATCAAACCAATATGCTGCCTCTGCAAATTGGGGTTTTTTTCCTTCTGTTTTACACTACTGTTCATGAACTCCACAAAAGTATCTGCTAGACCAGTTCTCTCTTTCTCTCACTGCAAACTGATCTTCAGTCCCATTTCACAGTTTCATCAGTCCCAGTGTAGGGAAATTCTACATGCAGAGAGTTAGTCAGAATGTACACGACCATGACATTAGCATTTATAACTTTAGAAAAAAAATAACATACCAAAGATAATAATTTACTTAAATATGACGATTATTTGGCCTTAGATACAGTTCACCCTTAAATTCTACTTTTCGTAAACAAGCATTTTGCATGTTTATACCCTGATGCTGCTAAATTGTAGTATTTAGATACAACAAAATAAAAAGGAAATGAAGAGTCAACTTTTTAATGGGGAGTGTATTTTTCCAATATATATTATTCTAACATTTAGATGTACTTAAAGCAATAGGTTCATTTGAGTATTAATCTGGCATGAGCTCCTTTCACCTCACTTGAGTACAAAAAAAGAGAGGCTAAAATAGGACAGTTTGGGACAAATTATTTTCACCTTGCAGTTGTGCTGCTGGAATCATACAAACTTGCACTGAGGTCAGAGAGCCAAGAGCACCATGTCCCAGAACATCTCCTTCCTTAGTAAGAGCAGTGATTGAATCATAGCCCAGATCTGGTCTAAAGAGTCTGCTTCAGTCTGATTTCTATTCACATTAGTTCAAAACCTACTTCTGCAGTAGAAAGTAAAATTCTCTGGACTTCATCTAGAGAACACAGTCTGTAATGCCTAAAGCATATCTCCTCTGACTCTGAGACATATCCATTAATTCTGAGTGCTTCGGACAGTCAGACATTTAAACAAGCCCAGCAGTTGTGGAAGGTTGCACACAGAAGGACCTGTCTCCTCCAGCTGAAACTAAGAAGTTTTGTGGACAGAGAGGAAGACAAAAGGGACAGTATTCCTAAGCCTTGGAGGTGTGCAAAGGGACATGGGAATTGGCCTTGGGTCCCGCAGCTCTTAGACAGTCTCAGAATGCAGACCCAGATAGTCAGAGATGATGTTAAAATGCGATCCCAAGCACTAGCAGCACCCCCAGCAATCGGAACTGCAGCTGGCAAGTGACCCGCTGTGGTGGTCAGAGCCACAGGTTCTGCTCAGAACAAAGGTTCTGTTAGATGCATTTCAGCACCTGGTTCTGATACAGTTCCCCATGAAGGAACACATAATCAGGTTTCCTTAAAGCTGGTCTCCCTCCAGTTCAGCTTAATGTAGCTTGTCCCAAACACTGTGAAAAAGGAAAGCAATGTCAGTACATGATGAGTTCTAGACTAGGACTAAGAGGACCTTGGCTTCACTAAGGGCAGATCGTGCCTGACAAATTTGGTGGTCTTCTATGATGGGGTTACAGCACTGGTGGATATGAGAAGAGCAACTGATGTCATCTACCTGGCCTTGTGCAAAGCGTTCGACACTGTCCCACACAACATCCTTGTCTCTGAATTGGAGAGAGATGGATTTGGCAGATGGAGCACTCGGTGGACGAGGATTTGGCTGGATGGTGGCACTTAGAGTTGTGGTTAATAGCTCCATGTCCAAGTGAAGAGCGGTAGATTTAGATGAGATCTAAGGCAGAAATTCTCCCCTGTGAGGGGCGTGAGGCCCTGACACAGGCTGCCCAGAGAAGCTGTGACTGCCCCCTCCCTGGCAGGGTTCAAGGCCAGGTTGGACGGGGCTTGGGCAACCTGGGCTGGTGGAAGGTGGCCCTGCCTGGGGCAGGGGGTTGGAGTGGATAGGCTTTAAGGTCACTTCCAACCCAAACCGTTCCGTGATTTGATGACCTATGTTTTCTTCAAGGGTATTTAACTGCATTGCTGGGTTACTTTGGAAAAGGAATTTAATTCCTGAGTAACTCAGTTTAACTCATCTGAAAGTGACACTGACCTCTAGATAAACTACGCATTGGCTGCTAAGAATCAGAGCTTGGAGAGTTACAAAGAAAAACATAATAAAGTCCTAATATTCTCTAGGGATGGCATACTAAAAAGCTGTGCCTCATGAGCACAGTGATCCAACACAGAGTTACATGAAGACACAAAGCAGAGAAAGGAGATTTAAGCAGTAAACTACTGCTCTATTAATTTAGCTAACAATAGGGAGAGGCAGTGTTTTAAGTTATGTCCCATTCATCATCAGTTAGTGTCTGTGTGCCTTCTAATAGAGCAGTAACACTAGTGCAAGTAATATCTGACAGGAATTTGATCTCTCCCACCCCTCCTTCCCTAGGGAGGGATGTGTATGCTTCACGATGTCCTGTTACAGCAGGCTTTTGTTTTAAATACACTGCCCTTGTAAGAGAAGGCAATAAAGGCAACTTTTGAAAACAAAGGTGTGAAATTTGCAATGGTTCATTCCACAGTCTTAGATCACCCTCTAAGGAAATTCAGTGACCTGAATGTAAACAGTTCTACAAAGATGTGTAAAGTTATTAATCTCACAAATTTGGAGAGAAAAATGCCCCTCCTTATGCAACTTCATCAGGACTAACTTAGTTATTGCCTTTTACTTCCCCATGATGAAGACTGAACACACACGAAGTGGAATGCTAACACCACAAGCATTTTTCATTCTCATCACTAGTGTGATTGTATTATCTCCCCTTACAGATGTGCTAGTCTCCTTGGAAAAAAGTACATTTTTGCACAATACAAAGAAAGAGAATTCTGCTTACTTCTCTGAGCGATGTATGTAGAGGAGGAGATTTAACAAGGCAGAAACTGTAGCAAGACAGTGATTGATTCTCCTGAATATCCATTAACAGATACCAAGTTTAAAGGGCACTTACTAAATGCTAACCATGTTTGCCTCAGCTGCAGGTACACCCTGAAGTCTGTCTGGAATCCGATATCGTAAACAGTGAGGTCAGATCCGGGTATTCCTTTGAGATGATCATACTCCCAGTAACAATGCCAGATGCCTTTTAAAAACCAAGCAATATAAAATGAGTGTTTCTGAAGAGTGGTAAGACAAGCTTTTAAAAGAAATCTTTTAGAAGCCAAGTGTTTTGTCTTCAGCATGTCAGGTAAGCAAAAACCAAAAAAGCATTACTGCAAGACAAGTCAACTATAACGTCACATATGCTGAAAAGAAATCTCAGTACACATGAATACAGAGTAAGCATCTGTGGGTAGATAATTCAGGTCACTACATCTGGTGCTAAGTATCAGCACAACTGGATTCTTACTAAATTTCATTTCCATTTAAGCCCTTTTAAAGGTGTCTAAACTAGGCATTAATTCTCCCAGTTGCACTATTTAATTTATGTAATTACTGATTTCCTTGCCCAGATTTAAGCAATAAGTATGAACAGCCCAAGATGCACAGATTACACCTACCATAACCTATAATTCCAATCACACCAAAGATGAAAATCCAGAAGAGAACCCCAGCCGTGAACCTCAACAACACAAGGAAGAGCAGACTCACAATCATTGCAATGAACAGCCCACTGCAAAGAGAAGAAACAGAAACACAGGGAAAACAAGTGTGAGAAACTTCCCTTTCTTGCACGTCTGTTACTCCGAATGAGGATCACTTCATCTCATGCAAGACAATAATTTGTAAAAACGTGTTTCAAAATATTCCCTGTGAAACAGATCATTGTGGCTATTATCTGCTATTAGAGACAAACAGTTTATATACGTGACCTCACAGGGCAGAGCCAGAAATGTCTGTATTCACCAGGTTCTCAGGTTGGCTGAACGGGGACTAGTACAGTGCCATTTTGGTCATTTACAGCAGCTGAACATCTTGCTGCCTTTTCCAGGCCATGGTTTAGTCTGTAATACAGAAAGTTAAACTGCAGGACCACTTATGTTTATGTGGGGGGTTGCACTTTATGTCCTCCATTAAGAACACCTACTTGCAAAGAAACAGTGTTAGTAAAGTAACATTTTAGGAGCTTTCCTAGACAAAAAGAATTAAATTTAGGAGAAAAATCAGTGACTCTTTCTACCCACCAGAAGAGGAAATCATGAGGGCATTGTGATGCATAAAAAGAAACTGCTAAGAGCTATCAATGAAGCTCCCAAGACACTGTCTTGTTTCAGCTGGGATCGTGTTGTTGACAACACACATTTTTAGTTGTTGCTAGGTAGCGTTTATACTCAGTCAAGGATTCTTCTGCCTCTCATGTCCTCCCAGCAGGAAGGCTGGAAGGGCACAAGAAGTTGGGAGGGGACACAGCACGACAGCTGACCCAACCACACACCTACAGAGTTTCTTCTCTTTACCAAGTCTGGTAAGGAAATATTTGTTTTCATTTCACTCCCAGAAAGCAAGTCAAAAAGGAAAAAAGGACTGCACAAGGCCTTTTTACTCAGTGAGGCCTTCTAAAGCAATGTGAATAATAATCCCATTCAACAAAATCCAGCTCAGATGTTTCACAGAACATTTCATCTCTCAGAATTTTTAGTAGGTGTTATATCAGAATTTTGTATTAGTACAGACTCAAAAAAACTTAAAACCTCTTCTGGCTTGTGTTCAGTAACTTATTTTCTGAACATTCCCAGATTATTTAGCCAGTTACCAAAGATAAAAAAATGGCTCAGCCTGATCATAAACAATCACAACCAGATGTTTTGGGCAAACTAAGCCAGCTGGGCAAAGGGACAAGAAAAACCATCATCTTATTTAAACCTTTGTAAGCTGGTCTTAAGTCCTAGCCCTTTAAAGGCTCCCCAGCATGATGTATTTTCCCTTTCTAAATGGCTTGTTTGAAATTCAGAATGTATTCCTCAAAAAAAGTTGTAGTTTTGGAGCTTATTCTTGAAAGCAGTAAACTACCTTTAACTAAAGTTACCTTTAGATACACACAAGACCCAGTAACACCGGAACTGAGTATATGGTAACAACTGTCCTCAATATACCAGTTCCCTTAAACTAAGGCTTGAAAGCTGCAGCTCTCTCGGGGTATGCCAAAGAGACTAGAGCAATTCCATATTTAATTCGCTATCCAGCCTCTTCTCACTATCAGGCATTCACTGTCATCACCCAAACTCTGGCACTTTGTCCAGAAATCATCTGATGTATGCTACCATTTGGTGAAAAGTGTGAAGAAAATTCTATCCTGCTACTTTAAAAGTAGCAACAATTCCTTATAAAAATACTGTATCTGAAATGTGTAAACTGGCTTCAGTACTTAGAACTTCTGTTCAGAAAATTCTCAGTTCTCTCTCCAGCCTATCTGTTCAGGAGTATCTCCTTTCAAAGAACCTGCACCATAAACCTGATTCAATAGGAGATCGAGAGAGAACTCAGCTGGCTGAATACCATGGCGTTTCTTGCCACTGACTCCTGTGAGCAAGCGGTGAGTGAGCTCCTTTAAAAGCTGACAACTTACGTTTCTTAACCAATTCTCCATATTAAGTTTATTATCTAAAGTTACGTATTTACTATTGTGGATTTGCATTCAGGCTTAAATAACGTATGCTTAATACGTGCACGCTGTAGGCTTCCACCGGGCAAAGCCTTCTGCTCCTGTTTAAATTGATCAACACCCTGGTCCATCAAAAACTATATTAATGGACTAAGAACACGCATATACTTATGTATTTGCTTCAGTAAAATAGCTACTTCTTTTGTTTCAGTGCTGCATTTTTACTAATTGGTGATTAGTGAGTATTAATTGCAAGATAAAGGTAATACTGTTCAATACCTTTTCTTGATGTTGCTTTGCTGCTGCATTGGATTTATGGATTTATGGATTATAATGGATTTAACTGTATATTGTTAGTATGAATTTAGAAATTATGTGTTCTATATATACTAATGACAATGGCAACTGCAATCGGTTTGGAAGTCTCTTAATTAAGATTTTTCAATTTTGGAACTACCATGCAGATGGATCCTGCAACAGAGACAGCACCTCCTGTTTTTCTGCCTGGTAGGATATCAAAAAGCTACTCCAGATCAACTGACACGCCATGTACATGAGCTCTCCTTATCTCATGTACAGAACCTAAACAATTATTATTATGTGAAGAAAGGAAACTGCAGTTGCTCCTTGAGTTTAAAAGTAGGATTGGTAACAAACACATACATGTTCTATTTTTTAATTCACTGTGTGCTCCAAAGTGAGTTTGGAAACATAAAAAATACCCATGAAAATCTTACATTAAAATCCAATACCAAGAAATGGCATAGTCTTCAAAAATTTTCATTCCAACTGATCTTGCATCCAAGACATTATTGATGCCGCTGAGAAAAGACAAACCATAGAAAAGGTTGCTTTAGGTAGAAAAGCAGAATTTATTTAAACAACAAATAGGCTCAGTGAAAGAATCTGAAATATCTTTGCTAGTGATAAGAGTGTATTACTATCCTACTCCAGTTCTGTAACCAAGCCAACATCAACCAGAGTTATGCCAAAGAAAAAAACGGTGTAAAAAGTCTAGAGAGCTCCTGAAAAAGCTTTATTAAAAAAGCTTTACGAGTACTAAGTGGCAGATATAACTGCCACTTATGTTACACGAATACTATTAAGATCTGCAGTGTACTAAGAGCCAAACAGTTGTGACTCCAAAACTGCTAATAGCAGAGAAGCAGAAAACTGCTCAGTGAAGCAGAAGGTGGACTTCACGGAACTGTTTTCCTATCCCGCAAAGTGCTTGCCCATATTAATGTTTTCCTAAGAAGAAATGAAGGATCTGGCAATGTAGCTGTAGATGCCAGAAGAAGGGAACTGAGTAAGGTGCAGATGTCATCAGTGTTGGTAAGGTGCTAGAATGTGGCAGCCCTGGACAGAGAGGTAAGAGGCAGCGAGGACTGCCAGCAGCTGGGAGAGGAGGGGGCACTGCAGCAGCTGACGCCCAGGACTGGAGATGCTCACTATCCATCTGCAAGGGGGGCTCTGTCACAAGTCAGCACCCAGTACATTGCTCTTTGACCTTTACAGGTATAAAACCAGGAGCATTCCCATGAGGTGAGATGCCCACAGAACTAGGACAGGCCACCTTAGTGGAAAGGTCATCACAGGAAGGAATAGCCAAGGCTGGCCTGAGTCCGGCAGCATTAGTATTTCATTTGAACCTCCTTGAGCTTTCTTTAATACTAAATTTTGCTATGAAAAATAAGAATGATTAAAAAACTGACAGTCACTCTGAGACAATCAAACTAAAACTTTTGCCTCCTTGCTCATTTCTGCATACCACAGTGCTGGAACTTCTTACTAGAACTTTGCAAGAGCCCAGGCACAGAGAGACCATTTACTAGCAAGTCTTGCCTTGGGTACTCTCAGCCATTTGCTGCAACAGATTCTGATTATTTTTTCAGTTCCTACATTATCTCACAATCTCAGAATCCAAAACCAAGCACTTAAGAAGGGTAACACCTACTTTGCAGCTTCCCTGAGATCAGTTACATTTCTTGTTTTCCCTCTTCCATCTTTGAACGTAGTCTGATTGGCCACGGTAAGCACACCATTCTTCGTGGAGAAGTCTGGGAAGCATCTCTTAAGAACTATTCAAAATATCAAAACAAGGCATGCATATTACATTTCACATCAAGCTTCACTTTTATCACTTGTCTTTTGTAACATATTTAAGTAATTTCAAATTCCGAGTCAACTGGTTTTTAACTGATTATCTGATGATACATTGACTTTGACAAATCTTGGAAAAGCCATTATATTTATTTTTTATGCTCTGTGGCTTTTTGTTCAAGCTCAAGCATGGTGGGATCATAGCTTTCAACTGGAGATTACAGGTGTTACCAAATAACAACAGTAGTACGTGTAGCAGTTTAATACTTGATAAATGCAGAACTTTCTGTCAGTATCTGGGCAGCTTACAAAAACTGCAGCTTCTCAAATATGTCATTTCATGGTAATAATCAAACCAGCCCCCAGGGACAGACTCAACATGACTGGTCACGAATGGTATTAGCACACGAAACAATACACAAAAGCAAGTGTCAGTTCCTCATATGCCAGATGGGCTCCAGTACCAGGCACCATTACTAGATATTCTTGGAGAGGAAGCAATGGAAAAAAGACAGGAACTATTGCTTAGACAGAAGGAGGAGGAGATAATAAATGAGAGAGAAAAGGAGAGATGTTTACATACTCATCCATGTTGCCCTGCTCTTGGCTGCAAAAAGTCCTGGTTTTCATTCCAAAGGGAAGAGCGGGTCAGTCCTCCTACAGAGGTGTACTTTAACTCACAGAACAGTTCCATGCTTTCCCCATCAGCTTCCAATAAGTGCTGATGCCACAGTTCAATATTCAGTCTAGAATATCTACCCCACTAATTATTCTGAAGAAATAATTAAGTAACATGTCTCTTCCTCCCTCTGTAATCTTTGCCCCATGTAGTCTAAAAGAAGATAATAGCTTCTTTGCAAATTATTTCCTGTCTTTTGGGTCAGTACTTCAATTTTCACACAAATTCTTAGTATTTTTTTAACATGTAATCCATATTTTCTCTTTCTGATAACCTGTCCCTGGTTTACATGATGTCTGTTTTAAAGCATGGAATAAACAGCAATTTCTTATCTGCATGGGCTTCTGGATCAGTGACAGATACTCTTGGTATTACACTTCTGCAGCTGAGATGAGCTCTGAGACCTGTGGTTATCTACTCAGAAACACCTGATGACCATAGTGACAGAAAACATTTTTGGCCCCTTAATTCCTCTGCATGCCCTGCATAGCCAGCACAGCAACTGGAAAGCGAGCTGCACTGTAGCTGGGCTCAAGTACCACCTGAACTTCAACAGCTGGCCATAGGATTCTTCCTACATTCATGACGTTTTCTTGAAGCCAGTGGGGTTGCTGGCACACATGTTTTGCAAGGCACAATTTAAGCTGGAAAGTTTTTGTTATCAGTGATGAGCTCAGCTTGACCTGATCACACACTGAATGTTCATGGTCAGCAGTTAGAAAAAGTAGTAGTAAATCTTTATACTTTCAAACTGTTTAAAATTGAATGGATGTCACTGTCAGATAACAAACATCTCCTAGTGACCTTGCCACAAAACATTTTTCAGACTGGAGTTGTGCTTTAATGTGAACATTTATAATCTGCTGTGTGTAAGAAGTAGAACCACTCACAAGGCCTGCTTGGAATGATCATCGAAGGACAATCTTCATCACGTAGGACTTGAGCAACAGACTAAAGAGGGGAAAAATAGGAATGCTGAATACATAGCAAAATAACTACGTGGTTTTTGTTTTTCACCCAGTCTGAGAAAATGCCCCAAACTGGGCTTTGTAGCCTCCTCCCCAAACTTGACTTGTTGGAGCTGCAAGATACATTTATGATGCAAGAATCCAAACTGTCATTGTGATTTGGGCAAAGACTATTCTTCTTCCCTGTTCTAGTGGCAAAAAAGAAAAGACCTGTTCACTTTGTATCAGCCTCTAAGCCAGAACTGACTGGGCAATTGTTCCTTGCCTTCCCTTGGCCTCTTCTCTTAAAGAAGAGTAAGAATTTAACACAATTAATACAGCTGATTTGCAAGGTGTTTTAGAGCTGGGAAAAACAACGCAGAACATTTGAGTGCAAAATCAGTTATGTGAGGGATAGATTAATTTTCCTAGCTAAATTACAAAGTACCTGTAGATGACTCAGGGCCTTAAGAACTGGTTTGAGATACTCTGCTCTGCTCTTGTGGAGTACAGAAGCACTAAAGGACACTGCTTGCCCCAGTACTGCAACTACATGGGTAGCTGTGTATATTCTTTTAAGCAAAAAGTAATAATTTCAAGAGGGGGACATTCGGTGTGCATACAAGACCTTCACCCCCGATTAAATCACTGTCAAACCACACACACAGGACAACTCCTTAATGGCAAAATCAGAATAATTCAAAGCTTTGATGTAGCTCAGTAAAATCATGCATATTACATACTGCTTGAAGAAAAAATGTATACCATCACCTACTGATACACACACACCTTGCGAGGATTGTTAAAACCGGGTTTGCAGAACTGCCTGAAGTAATTCCACTGATCTGGTTTGTATCTGTAGGAAGCCTGAACATCAATGTAGGTTGCAAACCTGTCTGGGCACTTTGAGACACAAAGCTGCAAGAAAAGAAAAAAAAAATGAGTAAAGACACACTGAGGGCAGAGAAAGGGAAGGAAAGTCAGTGCAATTAAAAGGCAAGAAAAAGGCCACCTACAGAAGTGTACTGTTTTATGGAATTGCCTTCCATAACGTTTACATATGTTTTCTTTTTGATTCCCTAGATGAATACCTCTAAAATTCTTTGATAGAATACACTTTCAAAGTCTCTCCTCACATCTGGCATATCAAGCCACTCTCTGTATCTTCTTAGGATCTATGCATTCTGGTAGATAAGCAGAGCTTTCATGCTCTTGAAAGAAAAAAAATTTTTTTGAACACCAGGAAAATAGTCTGTCGATTCCTCCTCTACTTCCATCAGCAGCAAGGTGGTGCAGTAGCTACTTTCACAGGATACATGTAATTTCTATTACATTTATGAGGAAAACTTTATTAAAAAAAGTCTCACGTAGCTAAAATTGTTCCACCCTTCTACATAGTCTCTGCAGTCAAATACATCTCCACAGATATTGTTGAAGTCAAATTAGTGTAAATGACTCCAAGGTGACTTTTTACTACTGACTAATGATGAATCTCCCCTAGTTACACAGCAAGAAGGGTGCACGTGCCAGGAATAAAATTCACACCACTCAAGGTACAGCCGTTATAAACGGGATCTATGTAAGAAATCAAGTGAGGACTGGGGTTTGATGGATGTATCCCCTCCGAAGTTATGATTTAGATTTATGTAATGGAGAAGCAGCTGCTCCAACACACAAACTCTGAAGGCTCTGCTGGTCACTGGAATCATTCAAGTGAGTCAGAACAGCCATTCTGACCACGAAGTGTTCCTAAATACCCTGAGGTAGTTTGAAGTTCACATTTTTAGTGTGTTTCAGCCTTTTCTAGAGACTTGTTCTCTGTTTCCAAAGCTGTGCTATCCAAACACCCTTTGCAAAGCTCTTCTATCCAAGTACCAGAGAGACATCATGTACAAAACTGTCTTTCACCTCAAGGGCATTCCACCATATATGACTCACCTAAAGGAATTTTGGGAAACGTGTCATACTAATCCCTGGAACAGGGCAGATGCTGCAAGAGGGTCTTTCCAGATGAGTACTACAGTCCTATGGACTATCCACAGGCCAAGGACCACAGAAAGCAGTTTTGTCCTGTTGTCGACTACCAAGTATACACTTTATAACCTCAGTTTCCCATCCATGAAACACGCAATGAAACATGCTGTCTATGGATCCAGTGAACTGTAATAGCAGTGTGCAAATGCACAATCTTACTCAAGAACTGAAGCTCTTCTCATGCCAGTTCTTGGGGTTTTTTTCTCCTGCTATTTGATATGAATGGGACAGGAATGAAAGACCCTGTCTGCAGTTCAAAAGAAGAATTATCAAACAAATGTTTCTTCAGCATTTTCAAAAAAGACCAGAGAATTAACCATCTGCAGTAGCAAACAGCATTGAAAGACATTGTCAATGTTGGAGACGTATGTTTGAAAATAAACAAAATAACTACTCTGCTCCCCCAAACTCTCCTTCAACAAGTATTTCACCTTACTTGATTCATGACCACTGCCAACTTGACCACAGCACCAGTCAAATCCCACACAATGACCTCAGTATGTCTGAACAGGCTGAATTGTTCCAGTAAGAGTCTAAAGACTGCAGGGTAACAGTGTCGGTGTCTGCGTGTGGACAGATGGGGATTCCTGAAGCAAATCTGCTGCCGACAGAGAAAGTTTCCATTCTGACAGCAACTGGTCAGTGTTAAGAGGGTTCTTGTTCTTCCTTGCTGGAGATTTCCATCTCTTCAGCTGTGTCAAATAGTCCATACGGTCACACTAACTGATAGGCCAGAAACATCTATCAAGGATAGGGATCAGGAGTAAGGGCAAGCTGGAATGGGAAACATTTTAAAATGATAGTCAAATAAATAGACAATTAACATTTGTAATCAGTAAATTGGTTACCACATAACAACCCTCATCCAAATTAATACTGGACTTCACTGAATGTTGTCAAGATGGCTGAGACCATACTCTGTCACCTGCAGTTTAATTACACAGTACAATTACTTTGGCAGCAAAGTTGGATCAGAGCAGTCCTGCACCTAATTCCCCTGAACTACCCCACGCCATAAGTTGTTGCCTCATAAGATGAACTGACAAAACTGGTTGTACAATTGCTCAACAAACCAGGTCAGCACAATAGTCTCATGTAAAGAAGATCAGGAAGATAATTTTAACCCACAAAAGTTCAGTAAGTTTATTTCACAGCTCCACAAGAAGTTGCAGCACAGCTAAGGGAGTACAAATTGTGGCATAAGGCAAGAACAAGCCTTCAAGATCTTCACTTTTGAAAGCACCATAGCTCTGACTACACCCAGATACTCCTGTCACTGGGGACATGCATGTTTTCTTGAACATGTCTAGTTTGGAAAAGCTTAGATGTCAACCAAAATTATTTTCTGCATGCACTGATTAATACTGGATGGCTGTCTGTGATGAATTCCTAAGTATCAAATTGCTGTATTCAGCTGAACAGACTGGTTTAGGTCAACTCTTATCCAAAACACACAATCTTGTGCATTTCTGTTTATTTTTTCTGACTATCTCAGGCTACAGAGACCATATGCTACACATGCCATCTATAAAACAATCATATTATATTTTGAAGGATATGAACAACAATTTTTAAATTCAAACAAATGTAGTCTAGTTCTTAAGCACCATGACTAAGAAGAAGAGAAAATATTTTACCTCTGTATTTCACTCACCTGTGTTGTAGGGCACTGTAGGTTTATTAACACTACGGGGCTGGCACATTTCAGAATGTTAAAGTAAAACAAAATGGTCTTGTTCCTGTGGTAGTGGATATAAGATAATTAATGTTATAAATATAGGTGCTTATACATTGTACCATTCAAAAGTTTACAGCATATATTGATGTTTCTATTGTTGTGAATGGTCATATTGCAAACACAAGGCAAAAAAAAAAACCAAAAAACAAGCAGACCCTGGACATTCTGTGCCAAGACATCTCTGAAACCAGAAGTATTTGTTCCAAATAATGTTAATTTTGGGAAGTTTGTTCCACAGCAGTTACCTGCAGTCCTGCCTCTGAGAAGTGAGGCCTGTAAAATACCCCTGCAAAACCCCTGTGGTTCCTTTGCTTACACTGAACACATGGTGTACCTATCACATGCAGAATTAGTATCAGCAACCGCTACACTGTAAAAGCTGCCGATTTTCTGTTGATCAGAAGGTGGCACCAAAACCAAAAGCTTTTTATGGTTGGGAACGGAAAGCATCTGGCTGGGAAACAGAATGATAATAGCATCTGCGAATAATGCTGGTAAACCTCCTTTGATGTAAATAAAGGGCAGTCTGAGGGGTTTTCACCCCGGAATCCACATGCTTGACACTTCTGGAACTTGGGACCTTGAGGCAGCCGTCACCCCAGTTTGGATTTGTTGAAAACTTACTACCCCAAGATCTCCAGATTTAACCTGGGTTTTGAAGACACAGCAAAATATGCTGTTAATCTTTGCTAAATCAGAAAATTACCAGCTAGCTCCAGTGAAGATGCTATGGCTGTAGTCCTGCCCTTTTCACACGAGAACTCCAAGTCAGCCAGCCACGCTGGGACTCTAGCACGTCCCTCTAAGAAATGGTGCGTGCGCCCCTCCATGGCAGGGGATGTGGGCCTCCTGGGGGCAGGATGGCAGGAGGGACAATGACCTGTGCTTGGGCTAACAGGGCTCTCCGCTTCTCTCTGCGGACTCGGCCCATGCCCTGCTCCCACACCCCTCCATCGCATCCCCCAGCCCAGGACACAGCCTCTGACATGCCACCAGCATGTGGCCTCCAGCAATTGCTGAATATGGCTGTGCCTTCAAAGCCACTATGTAGCATCACTGCACATTCAAGCATCCTTGCTTGTCCCAGTCAAACTGGGATTAGCTCAACGGCTGACATTTTACAAGGTTAAATTGTTTTCACTGAGTTCTGCTGTGCACTGCTTAACAAAGCATGCACCCTGGCAAAAACAATTCACCATCATTAGCTGTTATTTCTTCAAATCAATAGAATAAAATTTTGGATTGAAATGTCATTGTTCTTCAATAGGTTCTTGACAGTATTCATAATCTGTGAGTTTCTCAAAGCCATTCATGTAATTTTTTTTTCTCATGTTTTAGCCCACTTGCTGATATTGTCAGAAAAGAAGAAAGTTTAAATATATACATAACCCAAGAAAACAGCCACTGAGAACTACATCTGTGTTCTTTATAATTGTTGTATTCCATGATTACACTGTGCTCTGCAGAAGGCAAAACAAGCTTAGAGATGACATGGAGATTAATGGATGGATTACAGGGAGACACAAAGAGGCCTAAGAGACACTCACATGACAACACAAGGTAGAATTAATTTGACTGCATGGAATTCATTGGAGTTCAAACGGGTTTTTATGAGCTGTGAATGTTGGCTTGTTTTTTAGCTGGGAATGCTTGTCCTAAGCACAAGATTCAAAACACAGAGACTGTGATCACTTTCCAAGGAAGAAGTCTCAGACTAGGCCCTAGGGGACTTCAGAAACCATAGACTTGGGTAGGTCTTTCACACTGCTTATTTTCAAGGCATCTAAAAATCTGACAATGGTATCAGCGACAGCCTGACAAGAACATCCACACCTCTGCTTTTAGGGACTAGAGGGACTTGTTCAGAGGGGTCTCCTGGCCTACTGCCACAAGCACTCCTGCTTTTCCATAGGTTGTATTATGTGTCTTTTATAAGAAACTCCTCAGTGTAGCAAATAAGTGCCAAAATACAGTCTCAGTAGCTGTATTATTCTCCAACAATCATATATAGGGAGGGACATTTGTGAATACAAACTGGAAATCACATTGTAAAAAATAACTAAAGGGAAGACTTGAGTAACAAAGAGAAAGAGGTAATGGGAGTGGATGATAAGAACTGGAGAGAAGCATCTGGCTGCACCTCACACACTGTGTCTGAGACTCCCATGTAGCCACTGATTCCTACAGACCAGAGAGGGGACAAGGACAAACTGGGGGCGAGGTGGGGAGGGAGCAGAGAGGGGGTACAGTGAGGGGAACACACACAACACTACAACTTTTTCTCCTGGTTACCAAACAGTAGCTTCTGTTTTGCTTCCTGCATAGCATCCAGCTTCTTCACAGTAACAAGGGTATAAAGGGTGTCTAATACTTACTTTTAAAAAAGAAGAAGGTGAGGGGGGAAAAAGCAAATTACTTTTTAAATTCTGTTTCATAAAACACTTAAGATTTTCAGAGAAAACATTGGTGTGACATCTTTCTTTCCTGAGCAGCTATTTTCTTGTCAAACTCTGTTGATATCAACTAATTAATTTAACACTCCTAATTCAAAACTTAGACTGGGAAACAGAGACAAATGGAGCCATTTGGATGATATCCCCAAGGAAGGTATGGCTGCAGCTGCCTGTCTCCCAGATCAGTCAGTCTCCTCTCTACTGGCACTGAATAAGCACCAGAAAAAAAAAAAAAAAAAAAGCCAAGAGCTTTTCCTTATGGTCTTTTCTGTTATTTGGTGCATGTTTAGAAAAACTAAGAACCAGGCTACAATGCTTTAGGATGACTCTGATCCCAAGGTGGACAGAAGAGTTACTCAATGGGTTATTAACTCTCCAGACTTTGGCAGTGAGGAGCTGTGCCAGATAGTCACTTTCTATGGAATTATTGATGCAATATTTAAGTTATATTGATACTTTACCAAAAATATTCACTGAATGATGAGAACAACTGTATTATAGTAGTAAATTTGGTCTAGATTTGCACTGAGCAACTAATCTATTTCTAAACTTTACTTGGAATAAATACAGTAAGGGTGTCGCTGTCTCTTCAACTTCACACAAGAACCTCCAGCAGACAGAGAGATTGGAAACCTCACATCTTATTCATAGTGCATGTGTAATAAAGGCATGTGAACGGATTTAGTACTCACTCATTGAGGGTATCTTTCTGACCACAGAACTGCCCATAGCTGTCAGTTGGATAAATCACTTTCCTGGGGTCTCCATGCACCCAAGCTGCAAACATATACATACCTTTTAACATTTCAGTCAAGTGTACACAGTTAACAGCTGAAGCTAACTAGCGTGAACATGTGTCGCCTCCAATGTACCTTTTTAATGTTTGTTGATCACCACTGCAAAGTACTGATTTGTAGATTTCCTAATGAAAAACTAAAATATAAGCCAAACTAAACTGAACTAAGATATGGATGAGAAAGCAAACCAGTTCACTTTTTACCTTCAGGACACATATATTTGGCTTGTATCCAAAACATGATGTAATGGACTTAAAAATTAATGGTTATTAAAATGGGAAAGAAGAGGAGCTAACTATGTAGACAAATCTGAGTGTTCACAGACAGCCACAATGGCATTTAAATTAATGGGATTACCTGGGTGTGTGACAGAAACACATAGAGTGTGACTGAATCTAATGGACTCCATTTGCACTAAAATGGAAACAAACTCTCACTTCGTAAATTAAAATATTTCCTGACCTCTCACATGGCAATTATCCCATTTCTCAGTTATTAGGTCTGCACCTGGCAACTTATGTTATTATATGCTAGTATGAACTATACTACTGAACGAGAAGAGAGATTTATATTGACCTTTTAAACTTCTCTTCTCCAGTTCAAAGCAGGATTTCTTCTCCAAGCCACTTTCACCTGCACCATTATTTCCCTTTGAGGATCAAGTACACACTAGCTGTCACTATCAGAATTATTGTTTCTAAGCTGCAGCATGAAGACCTGACTAAGCTTCCTTCATGACTAGCCAATGACTAGCCTTTGAACTATTCTGACCACTAACTGCTTATATGACCCTAAATAGCGGAAAATTCATTTATTTTTAAGTATCATCTGAAAGTAAGATATAATGCCGGAATAAATTCTGTATCACTACCCTGAGCTGACACCCTAAAATCAGGTTGCTAGAGAACTGTAGAAAAAAAACATTGCTCTTCCCCCAAACATTTCCTTGTGCTTGTATTATGTGGAAAAGATTACAGGTATTACACAGATTACAGTCCCAACCTTCCCCCTCTTGCACTGTATACTGAATGTCAGGAGCCCACTTAGCATACACTTTAGGCTTTGATCTATGCAAACCACCTTGAACTTGCTTCTCTGCAATTACCCCATTTTCTCTCAACTTTGTGACATTGTATTTAGTCATTTGTGGAATTGTCATTTCCCTCAAGGTCACTTTAGTAAGAATAACAGCGCTTAACAACAATGATATGTGCAGTAGAGACAGAACCTATGTAAGATCTCAGAGTAGCAGACAGCAGATTTATTGACATTTTCAGGACAGATGCACAACATATCTTCATGGCTTGCAGTTACAGAGAATCTGTAATGCCACCTTTCACCCAGAATGGTTTTAGGTTACCAAAATTAATCTGCTAATCCTTTTTAACCTGTGTTAGCTGTCCTGTGTTTTAGAGTTTGTAAATTAATCTGCGGCTTGGTACCAAACCCTTTCTGAACATTCAGATTATATGCATTTCAGATTAACTGTGGTGTTCTGCAGCTCAGGGAAAGGTAAAGTGCTTCACCAGTGTTAAACCCCATTTACTTTTTCAGTTGTTAGCCCTTCATTTACTCATTTCAGTAGTATTACTTAATAGGAACATTTAGGAGGCATCAACTCTCTCTTCAGAATTCCTGTGATCAGTTGGTAACTTGCACGTGTACGTGACATCAGAAAGCAGACAGCTCTCTGGTGATTTCAGTGAGTCTGTAGTTTGTGCCACATACACTTTCTTCCAACATGACTCTGACAAGAGGGAGGGGTTCTTTCTACTTTAGTATGACCTTGCTTTTCATACACATAAAACCCTGCTCACAAATGGATCAAGCTCCTATACAGACCTGAAAGACCTTTCAGGCCTTACTTGCATGATGTTAGATGACTGATACATTGGTGTTTTCCTAGCCCAAAATTAGTTTTCTTAAACTAGTTTGTCACATTATTAAAGGGGCTCATTTTTTGCATTTGACTATTTTTTTCTTTAACACCAGCAAAACAGAAAGCAGTAGAGACAAGCCCCACCATGCCAGATTCAAAGTACAAGAATTTTGTAGCAAAACTTGTATCTGCTTCATACAGAAGTAGTCCAACAATATCCCTTTCCTAAGAAGCATATTAAACCTGGAATTATTTTTCATGCCTCAGACAAACCTGGGAGAAAGGAACAAGCAACACAATGTTGGTGGCTGTCTCAGTCTTATTAAGGATCTTTCCCTAAGAAAGGCCCATGTGGCCCAGGCTTACTTCCTCCAGCCTGTTTGGGTGGAGTAACTCAGCCAACAAGAATAAAACTCAGCTCATCAAAAAGGCAGAGCAGTGTATTCTCCTCACATTCTTTTTAGTTCTAATACAAAGTCTGCTGAAATATTTCAAAATATTTCAAAAGGCTCCCTTGGTTTCACTGGGTTTGTACCAATCCTTGGCCTTACATTTAACCATTCATCTTTTGCAGTATGTTTCTCAATTACTACTAGACATTATCAGAGTAAAACAATGGAACACACAGCTCACTTCTGAATAGAATTTCCGTTCAGACTGTACCTGCTCCGATCTAATTGTCTAAAACTACTCCTGCTTGGCAGTAGTTGTCCTGTGTGCCTAGGGCTTCAGTCATCCTTTTAATAAAATGAATTAAAAAGAATCTGTTTTTAAAATACAGTTTTAGCATACTTCGTGAAAATCCCATCACTGGGATCAGCTGATGGGTAGATGGAGGAAGACGCCCCTCAGCTAAATTCCAAAGGGAAACAAAAAATTATTGGGTCTGATTTACAACATATACATTTTGCATCTAATAAACTCTGCAGCAGAAAGAGAAGGGGAATGACCAACAGAAAAGACACAACTTCTTCCATTGCCTGTGCCAGGGCTAACCATCAAGATTAATAAACTTAATCCTCTGTCACCTTCTTTGCAAACTGAGAGCAATGACAGTGAAAGAATCCATGTGATAAATACACAATTTTTTTGGCCTAGTCAGTAAAGAGTAAGTACCTAATGCAACAGTTGTAGTAAGAACTAGGCTGACAGAGCAGCACCGTGTTTTGCACCATGTTTTGCTGCACTATTGGTGACTCACTGTCAAGCACTAAAATCCAGTCACATCAATTTTGACTCCAGCATGCTCTGATGCTCACAAGGCCTCAGTGTGAGTGCTGGCATAAACATCTGGGCTAAAAAGGAAAATTGAAGAACAGCTGAACCATAGTACACAGTTGACAACCCTCAGAGCAGGAATGTGACATCCTATGACACTGCCATAGAAGTTTTGGGAGGCCTGCAGTTATGTCAGTCCTTTTATTGATGTGGAGCCAATACACATGGACAGTAACAAAAATAACTAATAATCTGTCACTAAATGTCTGTCAGATATGCTCCTTTTTTTCTGTGCTCTACAGGCTACTGACATGGTTATAAATGCAGGAAAGCACCCTGTCAAGGAGAAAATGTGATTAGACAAATGGCATCTTGTGATACTTAAAAATGAACTGCCAATCTGTTTATAGTATGTGTCTCATTCCCTCTACTGCATTTTTGAAGGGACTGGCTTTCATATAATTATTTTGCTTCCCTTAGAGGTATATTTTTTAAAGTTTTAAAAAAATGTTTTAATGTATGGAGAAACTGACCTGCCAAATTGTTCTTACAGCTTTTAACATAATCAATTTACTGATGTACTGAAACAGGTAATAGAACACGACACAGAATTTGTAAATCTATGTTGATAACACTAGTATTGTATAAGCATCCCTTGGAGCAATACAACAAGATTTATAACTCTGAATTAACCTGTCTTTTATAATGTAAGGCTCTTTCCCACGATAACTTATTTGCTGCATTTTATGTGCACTTTTCTGAATTAAAATGACCTTAAATTAAGAGGCTAAGCATTTGTAAAGTACTGCCCAGATAAGCCCAACGTCTCTGAAGTAAACGTGAAGAGTTAAGTCAGTCTGACAGAAAGGAAAACTACATGGACTCTGAAACTGGCACTATTAGTTCACCTGTAAAGTTAAAAGAATAAGAAAGTAAATCATAGAATAACTATTTCTATTCAGTACAGTCAGCAATCAACAGCAGCCATTGCCAAAGCAGATTTTGGTTTCATCTTTCAAGGAGAATTGATTACCTTTTATTCGGACTACATTTCAGTCCCTCTGAAACATAAAAAACCTCCACCCCACTGTTACACAGACACACATATAGCCGAAGCCTATGTGAGCCATATATACAATACTGAGAGCCAAACCTGACTCAGATTTTCAGTCATAGTAGTTGTGTGATGAACCTGCATCTATTCCTTGCTTCTCAAGTCAATTTAAACAGGGATCCAGAGTGGTATTCACATATACTCAAGAAACTACAGAAATCTCCTTTTCTTTTTCTATAGTAAGCCATAAGGCATAATTCATGACTAGATTTATAATCTATTTCTCTTAATGTGAACTTCTTTGACTCTCATGTATTTTGTACAGGGCTCGCCCCTGGAACTGTACCAAAGCTGATCTCATTTTTCACTTAGAAATAAATCAGAATAAAAAGAATAGCTGAAGCACAGTACAAAGAATGATGAAAAGCAAGGACCACGTGGATCTGGAATTGGAACTGAACTAAATGTTTCTAGATTGACAATTCAAATCTTCTCTATAAGAAAGGTAGAAGTCACCAGCTACAAATTCAGTATCTGGTTCCAGGAACAGGTTCTAGTTCTAATCAATATGTTATCATGTTTGCAAGAGAAGGCTGTTCAGACGCTTCGTGTCCAGTAGGAAACCACTGCATGTGCAGAGCAGGGACGACGACCAACGCACTGTCTCACATCACAGTAACTACATCGTCTGAGATCACAGACATGCAGAAGCAAAACTGGCCAGTCCCCTTCCGCTGCAACATCTGGTGTATGCAGTTCTCTGGAAACTGCACACACAAAGTTGACATAAAGCTCTAGCCAAAAAACGTAGGAGATTTCTGTCAGTGCTGGAAACAGTGCAAAGATCTGGCAGCACAAGGAACACCCTAGAGCTAGAAACTGCCAATGCTCTCCTTTCCCTTTATCCAGGCAGCAGCACTCCAGAACACTGCCTGTCTGCACAGGGGCTGCCACCACTCACCACAGCGTTTCATGATCAAGAAAGCAACAAACATTCTTCTGATCTGAGTTCAGCTTCTTCAGTTCTGGCTTTGCATTTGAGCAGTGACAGAAGAGAGCAGAACAACAATGAATCACAGAATCACAGGCCAAAAGCCCCGTCCAACCCGGCCTTGAACCCTGTCGGGGAGGGGGCAGCCACAGCTTCTCTGGGCAGCCTGTGCCAGGGCCTCACCCCCTCTCAGGGGAGAATTTCTGCCTCAGATCTCATCTAAATCTCCACTCTGACAGTTTAAAACCCTTACCCTTCATCCTATCCCTCCCTCCTTTCCTGCAGCCCCTTTCAGCCCTGGGGGGCCGCTCTAAGGTCTCCCCGGAGCCTTCTCTCCTCCAGCTGAACCCCCCAACTCTCCCAGCCTGTCCTCACAGGCCCCCCAGCATCTCCGTGGCTCCTCTGGCCCTGCTCCAGCAGGTCCGTGTCCTTCTGCTGTTGGTGCCCCAGAGCTGGGCCCAGCCCTGCAGGGGGGCTCCCAGAGTAGAGCAGAGGGGAGAAACACACACACACACACCCTGCTGCCCACCCTGCTCTGGGTGCCAAGGGAACTTCGCTGGACTGCCACAACTTCTCAAATATGACGGATAGCGGCTCAGCAACTTCATCCACCAGTTCCATTGGAACGTGCTGATGCATCTCATCAAGTCATGACAAAAATGAGTCAATCAGGTCGGAAGAGGGACATCCTTCAAACACACGTACTCCCAGCACCACGTGGGGGCATGGCAGGTCTGCAACAGCTCTGAAGAGTCCAGGGACTACTGTTGCTTCTTAGGACTAATAATTTCCGTCCTTTTCTTCAGTCTACTCCAGAGCAGGTTTACTAAGCAGAGATATATATGGCATACATATTCTGGTAAGTCCCTCTGCAATCCCCTATCACTGGGAGTCGCTTGACGACTTCTTCTCCAAATACTTTCACAAATCAAATGCATATTAGTGTTGATTTGGAATTAATCAAAATGCTTCATTCCATATCAAAGAAAAGGGCCCACAGGATCCAAACAGCAGCCAGACAGAACTGTGATGAGAGTACATGCACAATTTTCTATACACAGAATCCAGCAGTGGCTACAAAACAAAGAGATCCTGGACTTATCTCCACACAGATACCACTGATGTTAACTTAAGCCTCACAGTCACAAACACTGACCTTATGAAAAAATTGTCAAAGGACTACATTTCAAGTTAGTCTAAAGCTGACTGACTGTACAATCATGCCAGGTGGTAGAGTTAGGAACTCTCTTCCTGGATTCAATCTCAGAGAATCCTATAGCTACTGGAACCTCTGCAAGTATGGCATCAAATCAAGTACAGCTTGAACAGCTTCTGAATCCACTTTTTGCTCTGCCCACTTTTCTTACATTCATTGATCCTAAGTTATCATTCATTTTTTGGAAACAGAAGCTCAAAGAGATTAGACAAGAAAAAAAACAGAGTTTTGAAAATAAATAATTTCTTCCACCTGCAAGCACCATCAGCCATCTGTTACCCTGATGTTCACTTCCTAGCGTGGGCTTCACACTTCCTCACAAAGGTTCTCCATGCCCCTCTCAATTCCTGGTATGTACCATTTGCTTCCTCACTTCTCCATCTTCCTGAAGATGTAAAGGTTCATGACAGGGCAGTAAGTGCAGGTGAATAAAGGGAAGAAAAAAATACACAGAGAGAATTCCCAGTGCTGTACAGAACAGACTTTTCAGAACGTGTTCAGTGCTCAGCTACTACAGGCAAGGTGAGAGGAGACAGCTCAGCACTGTGGCTTGGAGGATGTTATGCTACCATATCATTTAGTGGAAGGATAGAGTATTCTCTCATACAGTTACTGGAATCACATACATTAAATCAGTCTTGCTTACAGTCATCTTTTCATGCTACAGAGCAGCTTTTCACAGAGTGGTTGGGGTTGGAAGGGACCTCTGGAGGTCACCCTGTTCAAAACCCCTGCTTAGGCAGGGTCACCTAGAAGCCTGCCCAGGACCACAACCAGACAGCTCTGAATATCCCTCACACAAACAAAATAAAATGGCTATTACTAATGAATATCACAATGTGTGAACAACTCTGGATCCCACAATAAACGAATTAATTTCTCTTCTTCTTACTGCTCACATAGGTTATTTCAGTAATATTTTACAGAACAAAAAGTCTCTTAAAACCAAAGTGTTTATCTCTAACTTTTTCTGTCAGATTAACTACAAGTGAAAGTGAATTTTCCCACCACAGTTACTTTACGATAGAAAAATCATCAAACCATGTTATTTTTACTTGAACACACTTAATTTTGAGTTTTTCATCAGTAAACACAGGGTTTTGAACTTCTCCCTAATTACAACAGACAATGAATGTTAATTCATTATTTGCTTCTAGGCAAGGCATTGTTTATTGATTGGAGAACTTTACATAGACATAAGCAAAAGGGACATCTCGGCTAAAAATTCTAACATGCACAAAGTTGCTTCCCCCGTGTATGAGAAAGCTCTACTATACCTGCATTTACTTACCCACAATTCCTAATGCAATGTAACCCAGAATGACGACTATGAAGATCACACAGCAAACTACATCTGTACAGTGCCTAGGGACAGAAAGAATCACTTTTTAAAAATGAGGTGTCCGAAATGACCCTTTGAAAACACCAAGTGTCACAGCATATTTTAACATCTGAGGAAGATGTCTGCATCTGCATTTAGTAGAAGTCTTACAAAATCATGTTTGAGGTGTAAGGCCCTGCTTTTGCAGCAGAATCAGCAAATAAATGTGTATGCCTTTTGCAATGTTGACAACAATAAAAACATATTGAGGAACAGGTCTAAATATTCTTTAAAAAAAAATAATACAACATTGAATCCAGGAGATCACTTACAGTATAAGTTACTGCAGAACATCTGCCTCAGCATGTCCCTAAAGCTGGTATCAAATATTGCAAACAATGTGATGAAAGAAAGACTCATCACAACTTACCTGTATTATAAATAGCTTATGAATGGAAAAATAACAGCATGAAAGGAAAAAAAATCCTACATGCAGCAACCCCTGATCTCTGCACAAACTTCTGACTCTGCTGCTTGATCTCGTTTAATGTAACCAAAATATGCTCTACAGAGAGGAGAAAAACCCCAACATATCGTGGAGAGCCATACTCTCTATTACAGACAAGCAATCAAATAACAGGCATTGCCAGTCTGAGAACTGAGCCAGTGAGTAAACCACGAGTATTCAGTTAAATGACTGTCTTCTACTGATTTGGTCTGCATATTAAGTTCAGGCAGGCAGAGAAGTGGAGATGTGGACCACTGGACTAGTTTTTGTCCAGTGTCTGACCTTGATCAGAGCTCGGGAGTGTAATTAACATGAAGTACAACACTCCCACACAATCAGGAGGTGGTCAGTACGCACTTGTGGAGACCATCGACCCCAAGGGCTCCAGCTAAGCTGAGCAGTTCTCTCCTTCACAAGCCCTTGTTTCTAAAGATGTGTGACAGCAAAACAGTTACATCTCACAGGCCTTTGCAGGCCTCACTGGCTAAGAAACAGTTGCAACTGATGGTCTTATACCAGATTTTAACTAACAAAGAAGTGCACTACTCGTAAAAGAGTGTGCTGCCTAGAGTCTCCTTATCTGAAGGATTTCAATTGCTATTGTTATCTACCATGTCCTACATACCTAACACAGTTTTGGTGAAGACCTTTAGGTTGTATAACCTAAAAGTGTATGAACTGTGACCTCCCCAGCTGGTCACGGTTCATGTCTGCAGAGCCTGTTGGTGCTGCTCCAGGCTGTGTTAGCTGTACCCGCTGTATTAGCAAACTGCTGCTGTTCTGACCTGATCCAAATCCTGTTCCACTTTTCTGTGATAGATGAGTGAGCAACAGTCACCCCAAGATAGCTAATGCATGCTTCAAAGGACTACCGTCATGAAGTGAGTGACCATCTCTGTTAGCGAGACCATGCAAGAAGCCAAGTGGAGATGCAAGCTGAATCTCTCCAGTAAAAGAGATCTTAGAATCCAAACTCCAACTGACACACAGTCATTTTTACCATCTACCATTCTTTCCATTTTCCAGTCTATGTCTCCTCTTACAAAGAGCCGTTACTCCTTAGCATAAAGGAAATAAAGATGGCAACTCTTTTAAACAGTTGGAGAACCTGAAGAGTGTTTCCAGGTGTGGAAAAGGAATGAAAAATCCTGTATGCTTCTCTAGAGACACAGTTTTAACATCTCACTGAAATAAATGTTTAGTAAGGCCAGTGTGGTACAGGATTCAAGGTCAATAGGAGAGTGACCTAAGAAAGGACAACTGCTTAAAGTAGAAGCAATGCTAAACCAATGCTGCTCCTTTTCCCATCCTCCATTCAGAAGCAGTTCTGACACTGCTCAAGCTTGGCTCTCACCCCATCAGAGCAGTTTTTAAGAGGTACAGTATTTAATTCAAGATGTCTCAGGAGAAATATGGCAGCATAAATACTTTAATTATAACTCCTATAGCCTCAAAAACCTCCTCCAGTCCAATTCTCATAGGTCTCATTTTATGATCTCTAAATGCAATTAAATGTTACACCCATTTGTCCTAAAGCTTCCTTTTAAAGTTTTGCAGAGCCACCATGAACAAGTGCCCATAAACATTTTACTACAACACAGCATTTTCTGTTCTTTATAATACACAAACTTAACTAGTAAAACTCAACTGTTGCCAAGTACTGCTGTTATATAAATATTTTAAAAATATATGAGAGGTACATAAATTCTCTTCTAGGTGGCTTCAGAAAATTTTGAAACAGTTCATACAAACTAATTGTTGTTCATACAAAATAATTGCTTATTTTAGTAGAGACTACGGGAGAAACCCTGACTCCATTTAACATCATTGTTAGCCTAAGTAGCTCACAGCAAGATCATAACATTACCTCATATTACAAGGCTCCACGGGAGAGTTAAAAAAATGTAAAACATCTTAAATGAATACATTAAAATAACTCTGTAAAGATATAAGGTTATACTGTGAAGATTCTGTGAGTTTGCAAAGTTGCAGGAACTAGAACGATGGGATTTGCCTCTTCCTAAACAGATGATATTGGAAGCCTATGCTTATTATGGAACCCTAATGAGAAACTATCCAGCCATGCTTTGACTGAAAACAGATTTGATATGAATTTTTTCAAACTAAGAAGGTGATCTGTTATGGCAAATCTGCTTTTTCAGTTTGTTTCAGGCTAATGAGGCAGAGCAAAATCACTCAGGAGACTGAACTGTTAAACTGAACCCTAAAGAAGATGGATTAATGGAAATATGATTGTGAGAATAGGAACTGAGATCACTCTTATCATACAGGCTCTATAATGTTTCTTACAGGCAGTGCGATCATACTTTTATATAATAATTACACATAAAAATCCAAAGATTAATGAGAAAAAGCACTTTACATTTCTTACGGCATAATGATGAAAACATTAAAAATACTTTTGCTAACAGCCAGTATTGGAAATTTAGATGGGTTTGGGTGCTTTTTAGATAACAAAGTTCCATAATCTGAACCAAATGCAGTTTGCCTATGTATCTGAACACAGGAGTTTCCATAGAGATAAATTGCTGCTAAAACCATCAGATTCATCATTTTCAGGTGACATAATAAAAGACCTTCATTTGGTTAAGTGCACAGTTCAGGCTCCCACATCACATTTCACTGCTGACTGCTGTCATGTAGCTTAATTTACGGAGCCTGATCTGCTTCCACCATCTCTCAGAAACACAGTGGCTCCCTGGCTTCTCTTACTGTGTTACATGTGCCAGTGCATGCAAACACCACTTCCTGCATGTGTAATGGCACCCTAGCAAATAAACAAATGCAAAGAAAATCATCCACACAGGGTATTAGCACATAAAAGCCATTTATTCACTGACAGTTCATGCACTTAATCATTAATGACTGACTAGAACCTCTCTCTGTTTGGCAGTTTCATGCCCAATCTGTCGCAAGTGCAATTTGCTCAAGATGCTGCACTAGCAAGAAATGACGAGGTTTATTAAACAGCATCAGCAGTATATCAGCACCTACAAAGAGTCATGAGCCCAGCACTGTGCAACCACAGAGCAAAACGAGGCTCAAGATGTTCACAGTGAGAGTCCCAGGTTACCCCTCTCAACTCTGCTGCCACACTAAGGTGGCCACTAACTTCCTGGCTTCAAGCTCCTCCTCCCTGCTTGTCTAACAGCCTGTGTTTTGAGACTTCCCTAAAGGTGATGTTCCACTATGCCATACAATGCCACGAGTGGTGCTGAAGACTCCCTTCTTTACTGGGGCTGAACTGAGAAGCAAGATCTGCTGTACAAAATGGATGTTCTGTCAGCACAGTGACACTGAAGGCATCATCCTGCATAGCTGAATAAACGCACAAGGTGCCCATAAACTACACGATTGCAGAGAAAGTTCCTTTCAAAATCCCCCATGAACTGCCACTTCTACTGTGGAAGCCAAAACTACACAAAAAAAGAAATTCATACAGTATTTCACCACAAGCTGTTTTCCATCAACACAAGTTATGCATTTTCTTTATGACTGATCCGCACTAACCTGCATGGATTTATTAAGTTGGTATCTCTTAGTTACAGGCACCATGCGTAAGGAAGTATTGTTTAGTTCTGGAAAACTCCAACTTCGGTACATGCAAATGAGCAACACCTGTAGACAAGGGATGTCCCAAGCCAGAAACATGAGACAAGAACTCAAAGAAAAAGGTGGGTTTCCCAACATATTAGCGAGTGCACAGCATGTTATGTTGATACAGACAACAGCATGTAATAAAACATATATGGACCAATAAAATACCCGTAGCAAGAAAAATAATTTTATATTCTACCTACATTTATCCATGGTAGACTCTTGGTGTAGTCTTAGTAACATCTAGAGCAGGCCATTTAGTTTTAAAAGTACAAAGGATCATTTAAATGTCAAAATTGTTTCTTATTTCAATATTGACCACAGTATCAAGTGATGTACCATATATATATCTGTCAGTGACACATTTATATCTGTGAGAAGGTGAAGTTTGTCAGGAATTTTATTTGGATTTTTTAAATTCTTAAAGAATATAGCTAAATGGTTATGGAAATTTACTGATACCCAGTTTGCTTGAGAACCCATTAACTACATTTTCTAATCAAAGAGGAAAATGTAATCTTTGCCTTAACAAGAAGAGTGAATTTCTAGAAGGATGTTGAACAATTCATGATAGTCTGGGAGGTGTCAGGAGTTTTTAAAACATAACAAGAAAAAAAAATCTACAAGGTGTTTAACCAGCAAGAGGAATACAAGGAAAAACCCAAGAAACTACATAGAGGAGGGAGAAAAATTACAAGGGACAAGGGCAAGAGTTAAGACAAACTCCATGAAACTGGAGATGTTGAAAGTGTGATTTACTAATTTGATTTTGCCAAAGCAGTTTAGAAAAATATGTTATGATTGTATTGACTGTATAAATTACATTACTGGAATTTAGACAAAATTTAAATGGAGGAAGACAGTTCATTTTATACCCAAAGTAGTACAATTGCATTAAGAAAGAGGAGAAGCTTGGTTTTCCACCTGTATGATGGTACCTGACTGATTTATCCACAAACACATTTAAGATATCTCATTATAATGTTGGTGGAAGAAATGCATTATTATTCTTAAAGAAGCGTAACACATTCTATTTAAAGTCCTTATGAATCCTTAACTTCATAGGCCTTCCTTGTAACATTCCCCCCTTCATCTGGCACTGAGACCATCCAGCAAAGCCCCCCCTCACGGACAGATCTGCCTGTAGTCCAGCAGCATAGACCACTGCAATGCCAGTGGGAGACAGCCAGCCAGCTTTAGGGCTGTGTCTCTAGACAAGTGTTCCTACAATTGGAAAGGGAGAGATGCACAAGTTACTCAAAGGGTGAACCTCTGGGGGCAGAGAAAGATGGCTTGGAGGAAATTTCTGCTTTTGAGGAATCAGAGACAGCCTAGACTTAAAATATGATGCGCTAGATTTTGTTTCACATGAACTCAGGTAAACTGACCATCAGATCTGGTGTGAGGAAGGTATACATCTCCAGCTCAGACTGACAGAGAACACCTGGAGTTTCTATTTTCCTCTAGAAAGCTGTTTACCAAAACTCCTGCTACATCATTTTGAGCTGAGAAATTGCAGAGCTACTGCTTCAACCGGTAAGTTTACTCACTTGGTGGATACAATACATAAAACTTTACAAGTATTTTCCGGTAGTAATGCACATAGATGAACACCTAGTAATATGCCTAAACTATCACTTAAATTCATTCCTATAGACAGTGCATACAAAGTCTCACTGGCACTATCATGAAGATACTTCTCAAATTAGGATCAACTCCCTAAACAAACATTTCCATTTATTTCTAAAATTATTAGCTTAGGAAAAGAAGAAATACATCTTACATAAATGATAACAGTGTGTGTGTTAAGTCAGAATACCACAAGGCTGCAGCGTTCTCTGAAATAAATCTTCTGCTGAGAAAGACAAAATTGATAAATAACTTGTGGTCCTCTAATTTATTCTTCTTACTAAGGACAGTAAATGCTAGTTTAGAACTTATTCTCTGTGTTACACTTAGATCTGGAAAAACACTGATGAATTGCCCAAGATTTCTTAGATGCTTTCTAAGCAATTCCACTCTGCTTGTAAACTACTGAACCTTCCCAGTGGTACCAGACATGCCTTCACCTGCAGCACTGACCAGTAAGGGAAACCGAGCCAGATTGTTCTGACAGCAGGTTTTGTAACAAAGAAGTACATTTCAGAACTATTTTTAGGTTAGATACAATCCAGTTTTTCATTGTATATTAACACTAATGTTTCTATGGAGAACAGAGGCAGACAGTCTTGAATGGTGTAGAATGAGAACAGGAAAAACTAAAAAGACTGCAGCATGTAGTCATACCCATAAAAGACATCACCTTCATAACATCATTTTGGGTTTTCATGAGTTGGGTGGCTCAGAGTTAATCAACACAGCCACGGCATTTCAATTCATTTTAATAAAAAGACATTTGCATGAAATGCACCAAACTCCACACACAGCCCCCTTGAGAACGATGGCACTAGCAAACACTGCACACATCGCCTTGTTGAACACTCCTTTTACCCACCACTGTCCAACACTTCAACCACTAGCAACAGCTCAGTTCTATTAAAAATTTTTTAAAAGCAATTAAAAAAAAAAGTCCAGATAACTGAATCTTCTTGCAAATGATCCATCTGACAAAAATTGTGGGAGTAATCCATTCTTCAATAGATATTAATACACCATTATTAAGATAACGGCTTTCTGTTTTTCAGGCTTTTAGTGGTTTGGGGGTTGGCTTGGTGCTCAACAACTTCAAAACATCATTTCTACTCTACAGCACCTCCAAAATGCATCAGCCTCAGCAGTCATGATGACGGGATATGACCTTTTCCAGCTGTCTGCACCTTTCAATGAAGAATCTACAATTTGCAGCCTATCCCCCTAGAAACCCATCCTCTGCATTTTTCAAAAATTAAGTCAAACTTTTTCCCTGATCAGTGAAAACTGACTATAAAATCAAGAGCAGAACAAATTATTTTATCAGCAGAAAGCAAAGATAGGTGTTTGACCACTCACACTGTATACGGAGTTATGCCAGTTATGGCAAGGCATACAAACTGCCATGTCCCCACCCACATATCCACTGCCTGCGCTCACTGTCTGGACAAAAATGTATGCGTTCAGCTTCCTAGCATCTCTTCTACAGAAAAGTGGGAAGCCCCAAAGTCAGAAACAAATCCAGGGAATATGTCCATTCTGCTCATGTTGAACTCTTTGGAATACCTTCTGAGAAGGCATTTTGTTCACAGGAACTAGACAGTCTTTATTTGCTTGAAAGACTGAGGTTTCTTACTCATTTAATCTTAGTAATTGGAAAAATGAATTTAAAAAATGCAGTTCATTCACTGTCTTAAAAAAAATAAAAATCTTAAACTATTTCAAGGGCATGTCTATACTGTACTGCACAGTGCTGCACTGATGGCCCCAATAGGTCAGGCAAGTCAACTACATATCTTGCAGAAATAGTATGTTGACTCTAAGTCCAAGTGCACCTCTATGCAAAGTATGCTCAGTGAGCATCAACGTAGCTATCACTGCCTTATGGTCTACTTTACAATAAAGCCATACCCTTAATGATATTTTTAATATTTTTTCTGACAATACTATCTCACCAAAATATTACAAAATGCACTGAGCATACGTGGTATAGTAGTACTACACTGTATTCATTTTAAGAAATTGCTGTGGAATGTACAACTAGAATAGCACATATACATACACCTGGAATTGCAGAAGCTGTCCCAGCAGCTACACAGATGTAACAGCAAGCCACAGTGCAAAAACAGTTTTTAGCAACTGTATCATACAGTAACAGTAAAAACAAGCGAAGTCCTCCTGACATACCATTGCCAGTTTCACCACTCCTCATGGGAAAGGCACAGTAATAGACTTCTCAAAAATACCATGAAATTGCAATATTTTAGGATCCAGCTCTACAGTGCACAGTGCCACAGGTAGTCTCGCTCACTTCAGAGACACCTGATGCATGTAAAAATTGTTCCCTCGCACAAGGGCTGAGTCACACCAGCAGCCAGCCCCACCGCTGACAGAACCGTCCTGCGGTGCCTGCTCAGGCACTGCCAAATCCCTGCCAGGGACCCACCCTGCAGGCCACAGCACCTGCGCGAGGGCGCACAGCCAGGCCATCCTCTGGAGAGAAACAAGGCCCTTGGGGAGGTCACTACGGGAGAGCAAAACCAGCCGCGACCTGAAGAACAGAGCGGGCCTGCGTTCCGGTCCTGTGCTCTATGGAAACAAGAGTGCCCCACACAGCCGTGGCACCCCAGGACGTAAGGACACCTCAGATGGTCCGACTTGTATCAGCACAAGGGAGGACAGCGGGTGCCAGACCATATGAGGCATACAAAATTGGCATTCAAATTAAAAGAACTCAAGAGCACACAGTTAAATAGTCCCAAGTAATCATACAACCTCAATGGTGGTAAGGATTGTCTTCTGGATTTAAAAGAATTACAGAATCAAATTCACAAGTTCCATTAACAAAATCTTTTGTCCCCTGTTCTCTGCAAAAGCAAAAATATTAAATAAAATAAGATATTTACCTGTTATGAATGGGTCCTCTGAACTTTGGGTCAAATTTCCTTGGCTCACCTGCATTTAAAATAAAACAGTATAAAAATATGCCCTTTTTAAAAATAAAATCAAGAGAGAGAAGGGTGTTAACAGCAGTCTTTGAAGAACATCTTCCATATATTCCTATTTAATCAGTTCTATTAAAATAATTTCATGCGGGCAGTATCAGTAATTCACCAATACCTATTTGTTATAGATGAGATCAAAGCTTTTTACTTCTATCTTAAAAACTTTGAGGGCCTCGCATTTACCAGACATAAATTACCTTTTATGTACATCCCATCACTACACCTATTAACAGTTCACAGTGGAAAGTTGCTGATATTTGAGAGACAGGGATTATGTCTTGCAGCCATGTGCTAAGTGCGTTTGGCAGAGAGTGAACCTGCCTCTCTGGAGCTATGGGCTCAGCCCTCCTGATTTTTCCCTAAAGGTACAGCTTGGAGTCATGTCCATGTTTAACACTATACTTAAAGTCTTGCGGAGTTATTTCTTACTTCCCACTGCTTTGGTTACAGGTTTTTACAGAGCTACAGGTTTGCCCTTTTTGCATTGGGCTTATCAGATGACAAAGCATGGCTGGAGACTACAGAATTCAGAGCTGGCCCTGCTGTGCACTACCCTGCACGGGCAGTGCAGCTGCACTAGCCTCTCCCACGCTGGAGAGGAGGAGCAGCACTGCAGGGCAGCCCAAAGAGCACAAGTTCCAGATATCCTCTCTAACTCTCAAGTGCATGCACCTACCACATAGCCCAGTGTAGGAAGCAGAGCAGGTTTTAAAGTTCAATTGGGCTATGCATACAGCCCTGAACACAGCTGCTGCTTTATATGAACCTCAGAAGGACCAGAAGGTCCAGTCAGGTCTCTCTGAGAAACTGGCAATAACATCTGGCCAGTCTACAGACAGAAGGAGTGGAACATGACACATTTTTTTCACATGGCTATCCTGGTTAGCATAGCTCCAATTGATTCACTCTACACATAAACAAACTATATTAAGAAACTGCCAAATACTAACCCACCAATCTGTTCTTCAAATGTGGACTTAAATAAGATGAATTACAGTATGATTCCACTTGGGAAAGAGTAACAAAAATTTATGGCAGAACTTAAATTTTCAAGTTTTAAACTACTGTATGAAGAGAAAGCAGCAGTCCTTCATTCAACAGACTAGGATTGGGATTTTTCCTTTTGAAATTAGCTATACAGCTTTATGGGATTTTTTTTTTAAAGTTCAGTAATTACAGAGATTTACTGAACCAAACTTTGTGCAATGGAAAATTACTTCTTCATTCAAATGTCAATGCTACAGTACAAATCACTGTTTCAGAGTGCTTTCTCACTGCATTCTTAAGGATCTCTTATTCTGAATATACCTGGTGTTAAAGGGTGTTACCAACCTAAGATTTCCTCCACCCACAGAAAAAATATTTATTTTCTTCAATTAGAGAAGAATTCAGCAACTTCTCAAAAGCAGAATTTACTTATTAACTAAATGCCTGACTTTGTTCTTGGTTTATATCAGAAAAACCTTATCAAAATACACACAGACCAGTACAATAAACAAAGCAAATAATAAAATTCTATTTGCCCTTCATCTGAGGTGTTACCAAGCTTACCAAGCTCCTAAAACAAATATATTTTACACAGAAGAGACTGGAAAAGCTAAAACTGTGGAGGAGTGATGTGTGACAGCAATGCTGGGGAGTGGAAGCTGTAAATTATGCTGTTACACAGGTGCGACAGGAACCCACCATGGTCCAGAAAGCAAATGTGTCATACACAATAGCTAATGCTGGCCCACAACCTGTATTTTGAAGAACCTTTTTGTACAGCAGTTTCTACAAAATAAGTAGTCCTGAAAAATAATTTCCCTCCAGAACAATAGAGAGTCTTTAACATTACTCCCCATTGACAAGTTCTGGCCGTAAGGCATACTGAAGTGAACCTTTGTTCATTGCTCTACCCAAGCATGTATGAACAGCCACAAGATCACAAGAAAGATCCACTGAACCCACACCCTGTATCTAACAAGGGCCATAGCGAATACCTGAGGAGAAATGCAAAATCAAGGGAAACATCGTGGTATTTCCCTAGAATTGAGACTACAGAGATATGCAAACCTACTTTTCTGAACCAGACGTGGTGACATTGTATCTAATAGTTGTAGGTGAATTTCTCTTTCATTTCATCATGTTAACTTGCATACACGCTAACAATCTGCAATGCCCTACATCAGAGTACTAGAGGTTAATGAAACGCTGAAATACTACCTCCTTTTTTCTGTTTTAAGCTTGCCATATATCAGCTCATACCTGCATGGCAGCATGGCATGCTACTAATAATCTGACGGGTTATTACATTCCTCCTTACTTGTCTATCTTCAAGAGTCTAGTCTGTTCAACTGTTTTTGTACATAAGCCATTCCATACTTTTGGTCATGCTTATATTCCTTTTCCGTACCTTTTTCAGTGGTACTGTATATCACTGGAAAATGAAGGGCCAGAACTGCACAGGATATTCACCACAAATATTGGCTGTGATCATAGCTTCATGGAACAGCAAAACAAGAAAAATGCTGTCTGTTTCATTCTCATTTTTCCAAATTAGATTTCAAATTCCCTACTTAATTAGTACCATTCTTTAACAATTCAGAAGATTCTTTAGGACCAAGGTGGGAACTGTTTATGTTATAAGTATTGACATAGCTCCTGATAAAAGCAAACTACTACTTTAGATATAAAAGCCCAAACATATTTAGAAAATAAATTTCAAGCTTTACAAGTTTGGTAAGCATAAGGAAGAAAGCAGTGGTGTGGAATAGCAACTGTCATTTTTTTGCTAAGATTAAAAACAGATGGTATTCACTCTTTGCAGGTGAGACAGATCTATTTCACAGGCTGCTTTATAAGAGAAAACTTTTGTACACTGAATTATAGTATCATTACAAGAAATATTTTACAAGATATTAATCAGTTCTGACTCCAAACAGGATAAGAATTTAACTATTGCACTTTATGACTGTAATAATTAAAAAAAACCAAATCTAAATTACTTATCTAAAATTAAAAATCAATAATATATATAAAGTTTACCTTTGATAGGTAATTTAAATAAGCTTGCAAATGTCATGCTGGAAAAAAATTAAGATACACCAATAACTGAAGAAGTTATAAAAAAATCATTTGGGGCTGGATCCAAGCCCATTAAAGTCAATTGAAATAACACAGTTGAATGAAATGAGATTTAGATCAGGCAACTGTCATAAGAAAGCAGGTAAATTACCATGTTTTCCATAGTAGTTTTCTTCATCTCCATCCATGTTACTTACTCTACCTGGACCACTTTAGCAAGCTGACTGTGTGAAATATTAACTGTGGACTCCTGTGTTGCTAGAACTCTTTCCCCAGTAAGCACAAAAATACTACTTAAATAGATTTTAAAATAAAGCTGAGTGTCACGGACTTCTCCAATCAGAACGGAAACTCACAGAGTAGGCAGGCCTTCCTGGGAACACAAAGTTATCACCCAGCACCTTGCCAACCTACTCCAAGCCAATCTGATAGCACAAGAGAGGAGGAACAACTCTTACCAGCTTGTATTGACATACAATGTATGAGCAGAAAGGGAAATGTCTGCACCTGAATACCATTTGTAAAATAATCTTATGGAAGTCAATACAACTGAAACAATTACTCAAGATTTGCTAACTGAGACTAACACACCGTCAGTAATTATTGTGCTTTTGCAGCCTGTGTTACTGTGAGAGGAATAGTCTTTACATGTCACAGCTGCCCAAGTCTCTCTTCCCCTGTACATGGGACTAGCTTCCCCAAAGTACAAGTCAGGCAAGTAGGAAAACCAAGATTTACTCTGGCACATTTAAGTTTAAAATACAAACTGTCTGCTGTATATCAAACTTTCATTCTTGTAAAGTAGAACATTCATTTGTAGAAGTAGTCATAATTTACTAAATGATTTTCTTAATAAAATGTACATTTCATATTTCTGCATAGCACAAAAGTGCAGAACAGAAGAGTTAGCAGTTACTTTAGATACTGTAATGCCTATAGAGTGAAAGGAAGTACAAGGCATTGTAGTTAGCGTATGAATCCAAAAGCCTGAAGCCATTAAAAAAAAAAAAAAAGCCACAAAGGAACAGAATCCTTGTGTGGTGATCCTGATCAACATGAAACCTCTATTCTCTGTGGAATATGATTAAAACACCAGTTGTAGAATTCTGTAATGAGAAACACATACACTTGTATATGCATTCCTATGACAATTTTACAAGACAGGGCTATATGTGGGAACAACAAAAATCACATTTTTAAGTCAACCCTGTCACTACGTAGTACACAATGACAAAGAATGATCTTACACTGTCATTCACAAATGATGCCTGCGATATGAAGCCACAGCACATTCTGTTATTACAGAACAGAAATGTTCTAATATTTACCAAATGAGATATTTAGCATAACCAGTATCAGTAAACAAAATTAAAAATAATATGATGATGGTGCAGGTTGATCTTTTCTAAAATATTAACCACTGACTGAACCCTCAACTACCTCCCAAGACTTCTTGCTATTCTTGAGCAAACAGGAAAAAAAAAAAAAAAAAAGCAGAGAAGCCAAGTGACTATGATTCTGCTGTGCTCCTACTCAAGTTTGCACCTCTGACAAAGGCTGCTTTAGTAAATCTGAATATAGTACAGTAACAGAAGGCCCTGAACAGACAGTGCTAAACACAGATGTACACTAACTAACTGGCGGTTGGTCAGCTATATATTATCCAACTCTAATAAAATGCTATTTCTAGGTTCACAACTATTAGTTTCTTCAGTTTTCTTCCTTGGTGTTTGGTCCACAATTACATGTGCCTCTGGCTAGAATAGGTGTGGCTTTTTGCGAGAGTAGTATTTTTGTTAGAAAGGCGTCGGAGCTCTATGTGTACGTGCTGCTTCCCTCTACTGGAGTAAGCAGGTATGTCCACGTAATTAAAAGTGCCTATAA